CCCAAGAAAGCTACAGAAAGGAAGGGACTTTGAATCCTGCCTGTTTGAATTAAAGGGTAGAAGTTTTTTTGAGAAGAGGAAAGTATACCAAAGGAGAAAACAGCATAAGCAATGGGTCCAAGGTCTGGTGACTGATGAGGCTAAGTAGAGGATTCTGGTGAGGCCCGGGCAAGAGGAGAGAATACAGCTTTTATAATACACTCCTGATGTGTGAACAGGATAAAACAACTTTTGGCTTCAAGGCATTTGAGATTTTAGGGAGAACCTTCTGAATAGCAAGTTTTGTGCTTTTTCAAATAATCAGTTGAATAGAAATGAATTAGACATTGCTGCAGTGTTTTTTTTCTTTATGCCTTTACTTTTGCATACTCTTCACCTTTCAGAAAGCTGGCCTGAAACTTAAGTGTGTTGTCAGCTAAAGCAGGGTATATGAATCCACACCATAAGCCTTGAAATTTATCTAAGCTTTAGACTATACTCTCTACTTGTGTACCCTAACACTTTGAGTCATGAATTTTCCACTCTTGTCACTGATTTCTCTGACATTTCCCTTCACATTATGGACTTTAGGGTGACAGGGCCAGACTTCAGGAGCTCTTATTCTTCTTAAGCTTTGGCCTGTACTTCATATAGCTGCCATCAAGTAATGGTGGTGTTCAGCTAGAATTTTCCTGGCCAAATGACTACATTTCTGAAACTTAGATAAAAATTAAATATTTTTTAAAATAATAAAGAATCCCATTTAAAGTATTCATAGTTATTTGATATAAATGTAGTGAATCACAGTTTGAGCCACAGCCAAATTTTAAGGAATACTAACACCTAGGTTTTGTCTGGTACCTTTCTTGCTAATTTCAACTGCTCTGAGCCATTGCATGATTAAACCCTGCTTCCATTTCCCAGACCTAAGTAGAAACAGTTTCTCTGATCTTTATCTTAAAAATTATAAGTCTTATATGGTTTTAAAGTTCATATACATGACTCCAGACCTCCAGGGATTTAGAGCAGGCTTATAAGTGATTTTCTCAGGGTTTTAGTATTAAGACTTCAAACTACCTACATACGACTTTCTGGAGAGACCATGACGAGTTGTCTTTTTAGAATTTCCAGTTGCTCTCAAAGTGACTGCTGCTGCTCTTGCTCCTGCTCACTCTGTTTTTCTCCTCATTCTTTTTCTTTCTGTATTTTTTTTTTTTAAGAGACAAGTTCTTGCTCTGTTGCCCAGGCTGGAGTGCAGTGGCACCATCATAGCTCACTGCAGCCTCAAACTCCTGGGCTCCAGTGATCCTCCCACCTCAGCTTCCTGAATAGGTAGGGCTACAGACACATACCACCACACCCAGCTAATTTTTTTGTAGAGATGGGGTCCCACTATGTTGCCCAGGCTGGTCTCAAATTCCTGGCCTCAAGGGATCCTCCTGCCTCAGCCTTCCAAAGTGCTGGGATTATTTATAGGCATGAGCCACTGTACCCGGCCCCTCCTAGTTCTTTAAATGACCAGAAACTCCTTTCTTTTCTATGTGACTTCATGCCAAAAGGAGTCCACCAACCCAAGGAAGTACTTGGAGGGAAAAAATTTGCCCCAGAACAGATTTGGCCATTCCAACATGGAGAATTTTTTTCCTTGATGTGCATCTTCTCTTTCTCTAGCCCCTTCCCCTTTGAAACTCAGAAGTGTTATAAGATCTAATTAGACTTAACTGCTTAAAACCTGCTATTAACTTCAAAAACAGAATCACACCTCTTTACAAACCTGCTTCTATTTTTGTTTTGCTTTTCAAGAAGCTAGGCTCTCTTTTCTACCTGAAATATGCTTTGTAAAACATATTTCAATAACATGAACAGTTTCAATAATAAATTGTGGTTTCTTCTGAAATTTTAAAAATTGTATCTTTCAGCAACTAGTCATTAGTCACTTGCCAGATAATCTGGTATTATTCCCACTAAGCCTTTGCTCTTCTTTTGGGAACCCATCCTGACTTCTTAGTCTGGGGTCACAGCCTTCCATTCCCAACCTTCAGCTTGGAGCTCCCCACGCCAATCAATTGTGCTGTCTCAATAACAACCAGACACATTTTTCTTTACAGAATTTTGCTATAGTCTTTGCTTTTTCTAGATGTCCTTACACTCTTGCTACTCATTTTTGTTTTGTTTTGTTTGTAATAACTCCCTCAATCACTCCATTTTTTCCTATAGCTAAAATTAGCTGCAACATTATTTTCTGATTACAAATTCCTCCCCAATTTAACTTTCAAAGACCTGGCTTCTTCAAGAGCTAGTAGCTCATAAATGGAATAAAACATTTTTTAAAAATATATACATACATGGCCGGGCGCGGTGGCTCACGCCTGTAATCCTAGCACTCTGAGAGGCTGAGGCGGGCGGATTGCTCAAGGTCAGGAGTTCAAAACCAGCCTGAGCAAGAGCGAGACCCCGTCTCTACTATAAAATAGAAAGAAATTAATTGGTCAACTAATATATATAGAAAAAATTAGCCGGGCATGGTGGCGCATGCCTGTAGTCCCAGCTACTTGGGAGGCTGAGGAAGCAGGATTGCTTGAGATCAGGAGTTTGAGGTTGCTGTGAGCTAGGCTGACACCACGGCACTCACTCTAGCCTGGCAACAAAGTGAGACTCTGTCTCAAAAAAAAAAAAAAATATATATATATATATATACACATACATATGATATATACATATATATGTACATATGACAAATACATATATATGTGTTTTATAATATATATTTGTAAGGAGATATAGGCCTGGTTTCAGAGTGAATATATAATTTTAATCATTTGATTATGACTGGATTTTATAACATACCTGAGAGCTTCAAAGGACAAGTGAATAGAAAAAGAGAAGATTCACATGGAATAAAAATATATCCATGTTGGAAAAACAGTCTATTCTAGGGATATATATGTATGTGTATGTGTGCACATATATATGTATTTGATTCATAAATATCTAGTAAGCACCTTCCATGTGCCAAGCACAGATACAGGTACTAGAGAGGAAGAAAAAATGAATGATACTTTTCCTCTTCTCAAGTTTCTTATGATCTAACAAGAGAAAGAGATATATACCATAAAATATAATATAGTGTAAGAAATCTTGTTTACCTATGAATAAAGGACTTTGGGAGCACAAAAACGGGTATATTTAATTAATTCTGAGGAATTTAGAGTTGACTTTGGTAGGTATTAAAAAATCAGAAGAGTTTCACAAAGAAAAGTTTGGAAGATAAGCAAAAGACATAGAACCAGAAAAGTACACAAAGCAATCAAGTACCCAGGATTTATCAAACAAAGACTTTCTTCTGGCCAATGGCATGGGGTGAAGATAGTAGTGTTAGGTTGGGACCAGATACAAAGGTCCTTGAAGACCTTCTTAAGATTTCATTTTATTTTGAAAGCAACTGGACACTGTGAAAAGATTTGAGATGTGAGAATGAAATCCTCAGATCTGTATTTTTAAACTATAATTCAGGCTATAGTTAGAGGATTATGTGTGAGGATGAGGAGACAAGCAGAAAAATCAATTAGGAAGCTATTGCAGAGTTGACAATCATATTCATAAAGTAATTACAGTGTCAGGGGAGAGGGGAACTTAGAGGAGACATTTTAGAAGTGGAAACTACTGGGTTTAGTGATCCGCTGATTGTGAGGAATTGGGAGGAAAGAAGGTGCAAGGATGTGCTGAGATTTTTGGTTGGGTGTTTGGATACATGGCAATATCATGAGCTAAGGCTGAGAAAACAAGAGGAGAAACACATTTAAGTAAAAAGAAGTACTTAGGGGACACTCAAATGAGTGGGAGGCACTCAAGTGGAGATTTACAGGAGGAAGTTAGAACTCAAGAGGGAGGCTTAACCTAGAATCACAGTTTTAGTTGGAGCCATAAAAGTGGACAAAGTCAACACCAGGAGCAAGTGTGTAGAGTGAATAAAAGAGCCAAACACCAAATCCCTAAGGAACATCACATCAAAGGGAGAAGGAGAAGGGGCGGAGCCAGCCTAGAAAGAGGCAGTTAAAAGGTAAGAGAAGGAGAAGAGAAGGTACAACAAAAACCAAGGGGAAAGAAAATTGCCAAAAGTAGAGAAGGCCAACCACAACAGGATTTCCCAAGGAGAGAGACGCTGTTGCTGATTATCAGAGCTCTAGGAATTTTATGGATGATTTAACTGGGAATAAACACCCACCTTCAGGGGAGAAGAGCATTGGACAGGACAGGCCCAACCCCCAGGTCCTAGGGCTGAAGAGAAGCCAAAGATACAGGTTGGAAGAAGGTGTCAGGGAGGAGAAGGAGGGAAGAAGGGAGTAGTACATGAGACACTGAGGGAAGACAAAGTTATCAGAGGGAGAAGGTATCAAATGATGTGGAGGTAATGAAAAAAGCCTTTTTTATTTGAGAGGAGAAATCACTGAGATTTTAAGAGAGCATTTTCAGAATGGTCAAGCAGAAGCCAGACTAGGAGAGTGAATAAAAGGTAATGTCTTAATGGACCCTTCAGGTCTCACATGCAGTAAATAATTTATCTTCTATATATATTGAACTGTTACATGTAATGTGCTTGAGTGTGAGCGTCTACACACACACACACACACACACACAATGTGTCTTTATATAGCAATGGCCTTATGGGCAATATATTTAATATAAATTATATCTCACATTAAGAACATCACATAAATATACTCACTTCACAATAAATATTATATCCATTGAGGGCCAAACATCTCGTAAGTTTTTGTTTGTTTGTTTGTTTGTTTGTTTGTTTATTCCTTTTAAAAAATAATTGTAAACTTGGAGACTGACTTGACATCCCAAGGAAGATTATTAGATGAGCCGATGTAAGGAAAAGAGGGTAAACTTAAACATACTGTTTTTGAGAGGGATTACATGCTAGAGTTACTATGCTGCTTCTTGATACAGGACTGAATTTTATTCTGTCTCTCCCCCCCTCCCCCCACCCCACATACACGCCATCCTTCCAGTGGAATGGAGCATGTCTAAAGACTTCTCTCCTTTGGCTGGAGAAATCATCATGGATAACCTGCAGACCCTGAGATGCACGATTACAGGACTTATGACGGTAAATGTCCCCCCACCCCCAGTAGACTCCCCATTCCCCTGTGGCTGGTGTTCGTGCTGTGATGTTGGTAGCAAATGCCTATTCTGGAAGCAACAACCAACGCCCAGTCCTCTGGCAACGACTGCCACTCATTAAGTGTGATATGTCTGGCATCCATAATCTGAATTTCACAAAGGCGCAAGCAGACAGCATGAATCACTTTTTAAACGGCCATGTTCTCAGGAGATCATAAAAAGACTGGCCTCGTGCAAGCCTTGAAAGCTGCTGCTTTCTGGATCACAGTCTAATCTTTGGGGAGTGGGGATCAAACGCCCTGCGAGATCCAATTTTGACTCCCCGTCTGATGGTATAATAAAAATAACATCTCACCCTCACCCCTACAGCCTCAGCCTCAGTTGAGATCAGTCATCAATTGCAGTCACACAATTTCCTGAGAGAAATCCTTTTCCCTTGATTAAAAAAAAAAAAATCTTTCTCAATATGCTTTCACAAAAAAGAAACTATATATGGTGGAGCTGCATTTCTCTGTAACCTAAACCGATTTAAACTGTGAATGAAAAACTAGAACAAACTGCTTATTTGTTTAACCAATCTAAACTCAAACATTATTTATAGAATTATGAACCAGATGAGCATACAAAATGCAAAACATAAAAACACCTCTCAAATCAGTTCACACTGGAATAAACACTGCAATTCCTAAAACAACTGAAGTGCAAAAGATTTTTTAAAAAATCTTTGTTTCTCAAAATCTTTTTAAAGTAAACTTAAACCTTTGTTTTTGTTTTTTTTCAGTCCAATTCAAATAAGTAATATCTTAGACTTCATATGGGGGAGGTAGAAAGATAATTTTGTTGTTGCCGTTGTTTCCTTAAAGGTTAATTATCTATACAGTATAATCCTGAACCCCAGCATTAAAAGGATGCATTAGCTTGCATCTCTTCAAGTTTGAAGCAGCTTATTCTAATAGAATTCTGTGGTAACCACCACAGAATTCTGACTTTTAGTCCTAATCGCACATCTATACCAGGGGCCCAAACCGTGGATTACCAGAGCAAACAAACCCCTGAGTGGGTGGGCCCCCAAGATGCTATCAGTAGAAGACTGATTCCAACCCTATGGCTCAGGAGATGGAAGAGGGCCAGAAGGAACCCTAGGGAATTTCCATTGCTTAAAAGAAAAAGTGATACTGTCAGAAAAATGGAAAATTCTCTATAAAAAAGTTTCTCTAATATCTGAACTAATTCTATAGGGATTAAGTTTTTCCACTTGACCATCCAGTGAGAGCAAAGCAGACTCTATCCTAATCATATAAAAGCCTAAAAGTAGATTTACACTTCTACACAATATCTACAACCTTGAGGTTCATAGAAACCCATTTTCAATGTTAAAAAAAAATTAACTTCATGATATGGTAACGTTGACATTATTAAATCCCTAGCAAAGGTTCTGCAAAGATGTGCTATTTTCTTTTACCTTCGAACACCATTTTACAATTTTTGTGAACAATGTTTCATCGAATACTGCCTTCTCAAATGCCCTTTGAGGTTTATCAAAAAAAAAAAACCCAAAATTTCTCAAAGCAAAATAAAACCATACAAAACATTTTAAAAGATTATCAGCAAACAAAATAAACTCCTTAATTCTTAATGTCATAAGAAGGCATTAAAGAATGTAAGCCATTGGTTTTAATGGTTTCAAAATTGAAGTCACATCAAACAGTTAATTTTAAAAATATATGAACATCTGAATAAAAAATATTTATCACAGCTTTATTATTGTGGCATAAAATGTGGGCACTAAGTGTCCACCTATGAGGGATTTGGTTAAATAAATGATAGTATCTGCTCACAGTGAAGTACTATGCTGCCACTAAAGGAATGACGCGTGTCTTTAATGCACAAATCTGAAAAGATATTCATTATAACTTATTAATTTTCTAAAGCAAGTTGATCAGCTAAAGAGGTGATGGTTGTTGCCTCCGGGGAGGGAAAATTAAAGAAAAAGAGCTGAGGGTGAGGGATTGCTATTTTTGGTAAACTTTGTAGAACTGAGTGACTTTTAAAAATTGGTATATAATTTTGGGGGAGGTCAGGAAGAGCAATTATGATATTCCAATTTTGAAAAAAGAAAGTACATAGAAATGAAGAAGGCACCTCACATATTGTCACTATGATATACAAGCATAGTATGTATGTCTATGCAATCTGCATCCTGAGTAGAGTGATTAAATAAAATGCCTGATGTGTCATTCTGTTTCCATACTTCACAGGGCCAACAGTATTTTGTTCAAGTCTCAGCTTATAACATGAAAGGATGGGGACCTGCTCAGACTACGACACCGGCATGTGCCTCTCCTTCTAGTAGGTGGTGGCTGTGAATTCTCCCCAGAATAGCAACCGGGTCCAAGTGCAACTCCATCCTCTGGGCGCCATTGTCACCCCTCCTCCCCCCACCACTTGCAATCAATAAGACCTTCTCAGGGCAGCATCTGGGCGATACAATGAATGATTCCTCTGCAGAAATGGCCCTGGGGAGGCAGCTCAGTGGAGGGAAAGGAGAGAAAATTTGGAACCAAAATGCCAGAATGTGATACCCATTATACCTTTTTTATTGATACAAGGTCTCACCCTGTCACTTAGGCTGGGGTGCAGTGGCACGATCATAGCTCACTGCAACCTTCAACCCTAGGCTCAAGCGATCCTTCTGCCTCAGCCTCCCAGGTAGCTGGGACTACAGGTGCACACCACCATGCCTGGCTAATTATTTTTTTTGGTAGCGATGGGGTCTTGCTATGCTGCCCAGGCTGTTCTTGAACTCCTGGGCTCAAGCAATCCTCCCACCTCGGCCTCCCAAAATGCTGGCATTACAGGTATGAGCCACCGCACCCAGCCCCATTATACGTTTTATCACCTGTATGGCCTTCATAATTTGCATAAACTCTCTGAGCCTCAATTCAACATCTGTAGAATGGGTCTAATCATACACTTTCACAGGGCTTTTGTGGGGATGGAGTGAGATGACACAATCAGAGTGGCTGGGCCAGAATACATGCAGCCCATTGTAGCTGTCATCTTCCTTTCCTCATCCCCAGGGGACACATCCACAGCCTCATCACTTTGATATGAGAATGAAATCTAACAAATCTTACTCCTCTGACACTCTCTCTGAAGAAAAGCTTTCTTATTAACAGGCACTCTGCTACAAATATAATCTATAAAATTTCTAGTCGTATGTGAGAAACCCAACAAAGGCCTCTTCTAATTATTTGAAGATTAAAAATTTATGCCTGGTATGTTTGGTAACACTCCATTATCCAGAAAATTTAACCAACTAGAACAAACATCTCTAGACATACCATAGGATAAATTTTTCTATTTAATGAGCCCAATGCCCTGAATCATATTTTTATTTTTTAAAAACACTGCACTAATATGATAGTTAAAAAGATATCATGTGCTTCTTGTGACAGTGCAACTGCTATATCCTTTATGGAATACAATTCACCGAATTATATCAACTGCTTTAAGAAAATCCATTTCCTTTTACCCCATAATTACACACCTAGGAATCTAACCGAAGTAAACAGAGATGCAGACAAACAGTTATGTACCCTGATGTGCACAGCAGCAGTGTCCTGAGCAAAGTGAAATGTGTGTGGTAGCGACAGCAAGTATCCAATATTAATTTAATGGCTAAGTATGATACATATGCATTTATATCCTTACTGCAAACAAAATACAACCACTAAAAATGGTCTTTTAAAAAAGCATTCACAGTGTGGAAGAAATTCCTACAGTATAAATTTTAGTTTAAAAAATGCAAAATGGGGTGGGGGTTTCCACATTTAAACAGTAGGTTTGCCTATAATTAAGTAGTATGTATCTGTGTCTTTTTTTTTTTTTTTTTTTTAGGTACAATATTGTGAAGGAATGTATCTGTGTCTTGATAACTCTCAACATTTAGCAGTGGACATTTGGGTTACGAGATTATGGGCTCTTTCAGGTTTTTTAAAATTAGTTTATGTATTTTTCAATTTTATAACAACAAGTGTTGTTTATTTTATAACAACCCTTTACCCAAGACCAACCATGAGTCAGGCAGTATATTAGGGGGGCTTTCACATTCGGTACCTCTTAATCCTCACAGCTATCCTTCATCACTGTTCCTGTCTTGTAGATAAGCACCATTGCCATTATCATCTGCATCACTATCTGTATCAGACATAACCTTTATAAGACTAATTACGTGCACTTATATAATCTAAGTACTTTACATAGATTAACACATTTAATCTTCATAATTTGCCTCTGAGGTGACTTTTATTATTAGACCCCTTTTACTGATGAGGGAACTATAAACATAGAGGCTTATGCATACAGAATCCAAAGTCTGAACTGGGATTCATAGAGGATGGTCCCTTACCAACGTCACAACACTGGTACATGACTGAACCAGGATTCAAGCCTGAATTAATTGGTCAAGGCTCAGCCATGTCTTTCTATGCTGTGGTAACTAGTGCCCTGCTAGCAGGCAGACAAGCAGACTCAGGGCTAGCCAAATACCTCTGCTGGATTCTGATAGCTGCATGAGGTCAGACAGAGCCTTGAACCACCAATGCCAGAGTTCTTTAAGGCCCCTGACTCCCCTGCATTTGATGATTTCATTATTCCAGTCTTATTTGGATGTCTTTCTTATTGAAGATTTATCAGAAACATAAATTGGGAATTGCATGGTTAAGATAATAAGGGAACCTATCCCATTTGGGAGTAGGGGATGAATGTATATTATTGAAGGGACAGAAAAGATAGAAAAGCACAAAAATACTAGTCTCAGCTGACCTGAAAGTGAAGCAGGGCAACCCTAGTCTAAATGCATACTCCATGCAAATTCTGATCTGCATATGGATGCATTTACTGATAAAGATCAGATGTTCAGATTCCATAAACTGTAAACTCTGTTCAGATACTGTCTCTCACAGCCCATATGAAGAGTTCCCTCCAGAATGATAAGAATAGCTGTTGAGGACTGCAAGGAGTAACTTATTAACTGGTAATTAACATATCAAATAGCAATGCTTTCTAAAAGGGTACCTTTGATCAGTAGGGGTAACTGGCAAACAACTGAAATCCTAACATGTGGTTATAGTTGCTGCAGACATGCCATATCACTTGGAAAGAACAATATAAAAACACTCCCATTCTATTTATAAACAGAGTATGACATTGTGATGTAACATATATCAGTATTTATTTACTAGAGGACAATGTATTCTAACATGACAGAGTAATTGGAAATTTGGTAATATGTTCCAGTAAGCTATAAAAACTTTTTTTTTTATATTTTTACAAAAGGCCTTAATGTGTTTTTATAGACTTATGTTATATGGTATGGTACATAATAAGAGAAAAGGACCCAGACAGGCTTGTCTGAGTTACGATCAGGAAAATCCTGATATCGCCAGTGAATGTAAGCTTTGCATTGTGTTGCAATTGAAGTGTCTCATTACCAGAACAGTGAACTGTATTATGTGGCACAATCTGCTCTTTTCCTACCATGCTAAGTTTATTCCTGTCAGGTTCCTGATTTCTTAATATATTTTCAATTTTCTCCCTCATCCCTAAAGTCTCCTATTTTATGTAGTCGTCAGAACCTTCCAAACATCTATGAGAAAAACTCATTCTTTCCAAAAACCTTGGCATCATGTCCAGTGCTCAGTTGGGCTGCAATTTAGCATTAGCAATTTTCTAATGTATCATAAAGTCATCAGGATCAGGCTCGCCTCTGATGTAATAGCGCTGAGCTGAAAGAGGCAGGCGCATTTCGGCTCCCCTTGCATGGATGGCAGCATTAACACTCGTTAGAATGCATTAACATGTTCAGGGCCACGTAGTAATTCAGCCACCCAGGAGTCTTACTCAAACATACAGTCTTGCCCATCTTATCATGAGCATTTCAGATGCATTCCTTCAACTAAGAGAACCCATAATGGCCTTTGAAAATCCATAAGGGCAACATTTTTTCTCACTGTGCCTGGGTGCCAGGGGCACTACAAATAGTCTAAGGGCCACTGGGTATTTATTTCCTCAAATATTTTCAAATTTCCCAGTAAAAACCCTTCCCTATCCCATTAACACCATCATGCTTCTATTTACAATGCCTCACCAGCACTTGAGTGTCCCCTATGTGCCCAGGATGGTGCTTTACTACATTATTTCTTTTAAACCTCAAACAACCTAACAAGAGACTGCTTAAAACTCACTTTACAGAGAAGAAACCTGAGGCAAGGAGAAGTTAAGTCATGGTTCTTGACCACAAGAAACAGAGTCTACAAAAGGCACCTGTGCCAATTCCCTGTCTCCACGTTGACCACAACTAAGCCACATCACACAAACTCCAACCAAGATTCTGAGCCTTCTTCCTGAAAGAAAAAAAAAAAAAAAAAAAAACTTGTGCATGGTATGATAAAATGAGCACTATAAGGAGGGTCATAGGGCAATGTTATTGTCCTGGCTGTGGCCCTGACAAGTTGAGTAATATAGGACTGGAACAGTTATCTCTGGGCCTCAGTCTTCTCAAAGGTAAATGCAGATAGGGGAGGATAGGAAGGAAAAACGACTAGAAAAACTCTGAGGCCCCCTTCTTCATAGGTAATCATCTGATAAGGTAAGAAATGGTGTTTCCATAATGAATTCCCTTCATTTAAGTAATTATTTACAGAATGCCTAGTGTATAATAGGCATTGTACCAGATACCTAATATACTTCTCACTTAATCCTTACAAAAATACTGCAAAATAGACACTATCCTCGTTTTTCACAGTAGAAGGTAGAGGCCCGGCCAGGCATGGTGGCTCACGCCTGTAATCCTAGCACTCTGGGAGGCCAAGGCGGGAGGATCGCTCAAAGTCAGGAGTTCAAGACCAGCCTGAGCAAGAGCAAGACCCTGTCTGTACTAAAAATAGAAAGAAATTAGCGAGAAAACTAAAAATATAGAAAAAATTAGCCAGGCATGGTGGCACATGCCTGTAATCCCAGCTACTCGGGAGGCTGAGGCAGGAGGATCGCTTAAGCCCATGAGTTTGAGGTTGCTGTGAGCTAGGCTGACTCCATGGCACTCTAGCCCAAGCAAGAGAATGAGACTCTGTCTCAAAAAAAAAAGGAAGAAAGAAAGTAGAGGCCTTATCAGTGTAGGTAACTTGCTTGCAGACACTGAGCTAGGAATCAGGAAGCCAAGATTTTACACCCAGGTTTATCTGACCCCAGAACTTGAGCCCCTCCTAACAATGCTATCTATACTACTGGGCCTTGGATGAACCATCACAAGATGCTTTTACCTGACTTTAACTATCATGACATTGACTTAAGTTTCTAAATGAAAGAGACCCCATATTTTAAAATAAAATCTGTAGGGAAAGGAATTTGAAACTTGTTCAACTAGAATTTAAGCCCAAGATACACTTATGAACTAACTGGCTTTTCTAGGGAAGAATGACTAGCAATTTTAGAGAAAGCATTTCAGCTGAAAAGCGCTTTAAGTTGTTGCTTTTGAAAGGTTCAGAAAGGAAAATAAGAGGGAAAGAAAATGGAAGAAGGGATGGACTATGAAATGACTGACCTGCTGAAAAAAATTTTAAAAAAATCAAGAGTTGGAGACAGCAGAATTATAATCTTGACATTAGTCCCATATGACTTATTACTCTTGATATCATTATAGCCAAATGGAATGAAAATAGAAGGGAGAGAAAAATCTCAGTGGGTATTGCAATTTAAATTTGCCATGTAAGCTAATACTGTATATTTAGAGACTGAGCAGACAGGGTGGTTGGTGGCTCAGAGTATGTGTGGGGGTAGCTGTGCCAGCTAACCAAAGCAGACATTCATTAGAGCAAAATGTAGATTTCCATTTCTTGGCATCTGACATGGGCTCTTTCCTTGGAAAGAAATGTCAATTTGGCCAAAAGTGTGAAACCTACAATAAAAGCATTGGGACTGTGGATTTCATCTAGTCTGCACATTCCCACCCCTTTCTTTCCTACTGGGAAAATCTAGCTGAGACTTGGGGTGCTAAGTGGAGAGGTGGCAGAGGAACTGATTAGAGTATGGGATGCTGAAAGTGGGGGGAGGGGGAGGGGAGATTGGACTCCCAAATTTCCTATTTTCTTTTGGCTTTCAATTACCATTTTCTCTTGCCCTAAAACTGCCCAACACAAGAAACCAACCACAATTACTATTTTGCACAGGGCTCTGAACAATGGCAGCTTCCAAGTACTTGGCACTCCCTGCTAGCTCTGCATGTGCTGGGTGCTCATCCACAGAGTCTGTGGGTAGTATGAGCAACACTCCGGCTCCGGAGGCAGGGTGGGGAAGAGGCCTCCCCTGCTTTTAAACTTCACTCTGTTTGTTTCTTTTGTTCAATAGACTGGAAAGACTATGACGACAGAGAGCCCAGACACAAGGGACAGAGCGAAGTTTTGGAAGGTCTGCTGCAGCAGGTCCGAGCCCTTCATCAGCATTATAGTTGCCGGGGTAAGGATAAAAATCTGCACTGGGCCATCGGCTGAGGTCTCGGTGGCGCCGGTAATTTTAGCAGTTTCCTAACTGGGTCATACCTTCTCATTCATCAGGGAGAGAGAGATATTAATATTTGTACATCTGGAATCACTTTACAGCACTATCTTGCTTTAACCCTTCAGAAGTGACTTCCCTCTTCTTCCTTCCCTCCCTTTCACTCTCATTCTGTCTCTCTCCTTTCTCTCTCCCTCTCTCCATATGAACAGTTTGAAAATAAGCACAAGAAAATCAGCAGCTTCCATTAGTTTCTTTCTCTTTCAATTGTCCCTTCACAAGTCTCCTTGGTGGTTCTGGGTCTTTGGGGTATGCAAACTTTTCACCTCCAAGGAAAATTTCTTGAGCATCCCTAAGGAAGCTCGACCAGTTATAACAACAATAGTAATAAAGCTTCAGAGCTATGAATAATACAGTTTACAATGCAATTTTACATCCAGTATCTCTTTTTTATCCTCATCTTGGCAGTTACTGCTGAAGCTAAGTGGTTTGCCCAAGGTCACAATGCCAGGAAAAGACAAAATCGGGAACTCCAACCTGGGTTTTCTGGTTCCAAGTCCAGTCTTCCTGTCACACTTCATTTTTGTCTCCCACCCTTACATCAGGACTGGGCACTGAACTTTAATCTCGCCCTGAATTTTAATCTTCCCCAGTACTACTGCTCGAGGGAAAGTAGAGCATACTTTCTCTAGACTTTCGCCAGCTATACCCAGGGAATTTCTGAGAAGCTTTTAAAAGCATCTCTTCTACTTGGGCTGTTCAAATGGGACAGGGTCAGGTTTCTGATCTGTGTAATGATTCGTGGAAGAGGCACTTAGTTTTATTTGGAGAATTAAAGCCTCCATAAAGTTTTAATTTTCCACGCTCCCCATCAGATCTCCAACTACTCTGTGCTCTCTAGATTCAGGGCCCTGCTAGACCAGCTGGGCAAGAAATCCACAGTTGAAACTAAGAGATGCTGGCTGTATTTGGGCTAGGTATAAAGAAATCATACTGAGCATTAGCAAAGGGTTGTTCCCAATTACCATATAGCTCTATAACTATGACAACAGAGCCCTTTAGAAATGTTGGTTCTAGCCAGAATTGAGGACAAGCATTTGCAACAAAATAATGTTCCTCAAATGAACAGTTCATTAGGAGATGTAAATATGCATGTAAGTAGCTTGAGAACAAAACCCAAGAGTGATTTCCATTCCCAGATCCCTAGGAAGACTTTACCCAGACCAGGACTTTCAACTTTCTCCACTGACCAAAGGACATTGGGTTCTCAATTATCTAGGGCTCATTTAACTAAGCCAGTTGTTACCTGGGCTCCTCTCTTGTCTGCTGCCTCTCCATCACTGCCCTGCCCATTGGTTCTTATATAGCAGCAAAGGTAATAAAGCAATTGGACTGGTGATTTTTTGCAATTCATAAATCACTCTGTGTTTGGTCTTTATCAGAGAAGGGAAGCTGACACTACTCATGACAGTGAGAGATTTTTTAAAACATTATCGGAAGATTCAGATGCTCTCCCCATTACTCTTGGATTACTATCTAATAATCAAGAAATGATTGTCTAGACAGACCAATTATTTCTATAGTGTCCATCCAACTTCTGTCATGTACATGCTTTACCCCACAGCAATGTGAATATATACACAATATCAGGAAAGATTTAAGTAAGGCATCAGATAGAACTCCTAAAAAGGAGGAATATTTTGTATATTAAATGTACTCTGGACACTTAAACAATAAATCAAAGTGTGTTCCAAAGAATAGTGGTCCTATAAGATGCTCAGCTGACAAGATTCTCTTGTCAGGTAAGTTTGGGAAATGTTGCATTCTATATCCCTCTCTTAGAAATACAAAATATGCATTAGAATAGTAAAGACTGTAATAAAGAGACATGTCGAATTTGGTTAAACAAGCATTTTCTAAACTTCTTTAGTCACGAAAACTTTTTTCACAGAATTAGTATTCAAAGGCACAAACTTTGGGGAACACTGATTTATAACATGCTAAAATAGAAGAAATTACCTCACATAAAAAAGGAACGATTCTAAGATGATTTAACATAACTGTCTATAAATTTAAAAGGATAAATGAAGGATAATATAAGTATTTCTTACAGAGAAGTACAAAATTATTATTTAAAAATTCCACTACATTGAAATACTATGTGGTTTATTGGGGACACAAACCTTTACAAACTTTATAATTAGAAAAAATAATTATTTCAAATCCCAGTTTTACCACTTACTAGCTGTGTGTTCTTGGGAAAAGCATTTAACCCCTCTGATCCATCACTTCTTCATCAACAAAATTAGGATAATAATTTCTATCTTGCATGGTTGCTATCAAGATTAAATTAGCTAATGGATTAAATACCTGGCACGGTGTAGGCCACTTGCAAACTCTAGCTTATTTTTCTTCTAGTGTCCTTCCAGGTGGAGAATGGGGCTACTCTCCATCCTCGGCACTGATTACACTTCAATTCTATAAGTTAGAATTCTATAGTTAGAATTGAAATGTAATCAGTGACTCTACTCTAATGAGCCCAGAGTACTCACTGAATATACATCATATTCCAAATACAGAAATAATAAAACATCCCTTCTCCTACCAAAACCCTAAATACGAGGCACCGAAACCCACATTAATTTCTGCATTTTGGCCACAGCTAATCAAATGCTCAGTATTGGGATGAAAATTCAAGGCAAGCATTGAGCAGGCTTTATTGTTCACAAGGTTAGTGCACTGACATACATAAAATACCTACAGTATAAATAAGCCAGTTCTGTTCATCATGGGTATCCTATAGGAATAAATTTCAGTTATTATCCAATGATTCAACTTGCAAAACGACATTAACTGAAACCCTGCCTACTGCATGATTATGTAGGTCACATAGTAGGTGCTAGACATGCTGATATGAATGAAATAAACTCCCTATGCTCCATGCACTTATAAGCTAGAGAATTATTGCATTCAGAGTACACAAAGTGAACCTTTGCTTCAGAGCCTGAACTAAGCAAAGAAGTACAATATAGAAGCCACAGTGGTTCTTAGGAGACAAGTGAGTTTAGACCACGTTATCAGTCAAGATGGGCCATATTATGCAGCTGTAACCAAATGATCCCTGAAATGTTTGTTTCTCCCTCATGTTATGCATCTACCACTGGTCAGCTGGGGTTTTTTTTTTCTCTGTTGTCATCCTCTCTGAAAATATTTACCAGGAACCATAGGAGAGGGGAAAGAAACTCTTGAAGGTCTCATATAGGCAAGACTTTATGATGTCACTTATACTCAAAACTCATTGGCCAGAACTGGTCACATGGCCCCACTCAACCATAAAGACTCCAGAGTGCAGTTCTACCGTGTGCCCAGAAGGGAGGTGAGCTGGAATAGTTAATGCTTGCACAGGCCTCTTTCCTGACTGGGAATAGCATTTCTTGTTTTTCTTTTTTAATTTTTTAGTCTAATTTATTTTAGTTTAACTTCATGTTTATGTAAGTTATACATGACTATAATGTGTCTCTGAGCCAGACTGCCTGAGTTCAAATCCAGCCTGGACTTTTACTAGCTGTGTGACCTTGAGCAAGCTGTTAAAACTTCTCCATGCTTCACTCATCTATAAAATGCAGATAATAGTTACATATGCTTCATTCAGCCATTGTTTAAGGATTGACTGACTTAAGTAAAAGCACTTAAAACAGATTTATCATTTTTAAAAAAGCAATTTTTTCCATCCTTCACTTTTTAGTCCCCAAAGGCAACCTCTTAATTTTTAGCTAATTATTTATTATTTTCCCCATTTCTCTAAGTGACATGTTTATATTTCTTTTTTTGTTTTCAATTTTAGGTATTATCTCACTCAAGAAAATGATGATGTATCTCTTTTTTTTACCCCACTGCCCTCTTATGTACATACACAATTCCTAGCTTCTCATCCTCCTAATATATTTATATCGAATTTTAGTAAGATCAGTGTTTATTGTTTATATTATAATGATAATGTAAATTTTATGATTATTTTCCTTTCTTGAATACCTTTTTGTTTACCCTGTAGTAAATAATCATCTTTTATTGTACTTGCTTATTTTTCTATGTGGTTATATTAATTAATCCCCAACTTCTCTTTTCTCAATATAATCCAATGCATTAGGTGTTTCAATTGCATCTTCTTAAGGAAGCCTTTCATGGAGCTCTCTGTCCTGCTCCAGTCTAGACTGGTTACTGGTTGCCCCCATGCCTCGTGCACATGGCTGTACTCTGATATCACTTTTTTTTCATCACCTTACTGCAGACTCTTCTTACCAGTCTCCAATATTGGGTTCCTTCTTTTTGTATCCTATGTCTTCCTTTTTCTTGGGTTGGTCCCTCATTTTGGTGGAGCCTTTCCTCTGGTAGCTTCCTGAAAGGGTGTTTGGAACCTAATTTGGGGGGGACATTGCATGCCTAAAGATGTATTTATTCTACTTAATATTTATTCAAGGTTTGGATAAGTATAGAATTCTTGGTTGAGATAATATTCCTTCAGATTTTGAAGCCATTGCTTCATTTTCTTCTAGCTTTCAGGGCTGAGCAGTCTGATGCCACTCTGATTCCAGAGGTTCTATATAAAACCAATTTTTTTTCTCTCTCTCTGGAAGGTTTTAAGTTTTCTTTTGTCTTCCGTGTTCTAAAATTTCACTGTGACATGCCTTAGTATCTGTTGCCTGTTGTACTGGGCACTTGGCAATTTCTTTCAATATGAAAATTTATATACTTCAATTGTGAGACATCTTTGTGAATTATTTAATTATTTCTTCCCCTTCTTCTCTTCTTCTCTCTCCTACTAGAACTCTTGTTATTATTCAGCTGTCAGACTTCCTACACTAGTCCTTTAATTTTCTTTTTTTTTTTTCTTCTACTTTCAATCCTCATATTTTTACTCTACTTTCTTGGAGATTTCATCAGCTTTATTTGCTAAGCCTCCTATTAAGTTTCTCAGTTTTTGATAACATATTTTTAATTCCCAATGCTCTCTTTTGTTCTCTGATTGGTTTCTTTTATGGACAGCTATCGTTTTACAAGGAGACAATGTCTTCTCTTATCTCTCAGATTATTAATGACAGGCATTGTTTCATTTTATATTTTCTTTTCTCAGCATAATCTCTCTTGCCTTTAAGTTATTCTTTTGTTGATTTATTTTTGGTCTTTGCATTTCATGTTAGTTGCTTTCCTCACCTGCCTGGTGATCCTTGGATGTTTCCTCAGATTTAAGAGAGGGGAAATCAATAACCATTGAGAAGCTCTAAGCACAAGCATAGGGCTCTTTATTTATAGCCTACACTGTAGGTTGATCTAGCACTGCCTTTCCCACTAAGAGAATCTTTAGGCATGTTTTCCCAGGCTGGTCAAATTCTCCAGAGAAGTTTCTTCCAGTGTCCTGCATAAAGAGTATAGGTTTGGGTGCCAGTGTTCTGAGAACCCAATGGGGAAATACTCCGTATGAAAACTTTAATTCAATCCACCCTCACCACCACTGCTATCACCCCATTTTCAATAGTACATGGTGTCTCCCACTCCAGAAATCTCTGTTGCTTCCTGTTTTGGTTTTTGTCATTTGATTTCCAAAGAATCAGCCACTAGCTTTCTTCTAGAGTGGAGAACAGGTATTTATCTAGCTATGCAGCAGGGGAGGAGATTGAGAAGTCTAACTGCTTTTTAAATAGACTTCCACAAATCCTCCTGATTTTTAGCTCACACTCACCCCTCACTTCCAGCAGTCCATGGTGCCCATGGGCGAATCAGGTTACTTCTCAGCTTTCTCCACTGCTGGCTTGGGCTTCATCTTTCTCAAGTCTGTTAAGCCCATCTGTCCATCTGCTTTCCAGCTACCAAAATTTACTTGCTTTGTTACCTTTCCCATCTTTTTGTGTTTACAGATTTATGTTGTTTCCTTTTTTTTTTTTTTTTCACAATCTCTACTCTGGTTTTAGTGAGGTTTTGGGAGAGAGTGGTATATAATGAGTATTTCACTGTGAGGCATTTAACTGGAAGTCCCAGCAGCATCATTTTCAAGCAGCCAAACTCATGTTCAAGTCAGGGAGGAAAAAATGCTTTTGCTTTATTCTGCCAGGAATAACCATTACCAGTATAAGCTTGAAACTGACATGGATACTTGTGTCAGTCAGCTGTTCCTATATAATCATAGGCAGAGCCACACTGGGCCTCAGCCATGGGCCACCTGGTCAAGTTTCTATGCCTGACAGCAATGATATGGACCATGCTTTCATGGTCCATATCATTGCCTCACACGTAGAAGTGTCCCAGTAAATATTTATTCAATAAATAAATGTCTCAGTTTCTCTAAGTACCGGCTTTTCAAGCTTGGGCAATTCATTTCCACTTCTCAGCCTCAGTTTCTTCTTCTGAGTAATGAGGATGATAATCATACCTATCACTACAACTATTTTTGTAAGCCAACATACACAATGAAAAAAAGTGCCCCAGAATACTAGCAGCATTATATAAAAGGGAGTGGGGTATATTTATATTATATAAATATGAGTGGGGTTTTCTTCTTTTTTTCTATTCTCTAGACTTTCTATAATATGCTTATATTAGTTTCATAATGAAAAAATTTAATGGAATGTGTAGACTAACAAGGAGAGCTTTGCCAGCATTGAGAAGTATATGAATACTAAAAGGCAATTGGGGGTGGGGAAAGGACAGCAATGGAGTTAATTTCATTTATTCTTATTCTATCTTATAATACATCACCCCCATCCCAAAAATATCAACAAAACACCTCATTGGTTTCCCTTGCAGTTATAAATATCACTCATTTCCAACATGTTTGAGGAGTGTATTAATTAATTAACTGCTGGCATCTTAAGATACAAGAGCTTCTTGTGGGAATAAATGAGCTAAATCCCTACATGAAACTGAGGATAACTGGCACTGAGGGGAAGGGAAAGGGGAGGGGAAGGGAGGAAGAAGGAATTGGTGGTGTTGGTCTGCCAAATGGAATTTATGCTATTTTTTTCTATGTTCCAGAAAGTTCAAAATTACAAACCACAGGCCGAAAGCAGTCAGTCTCAAGGAGCCTGAAACACCTATTCCATTCCTCAAACAAGTTTGTGAAGACCTTAAAACGGTGGGTCCTATGTAGTTCTTCCAGGAAGTCTTAACTTCTCAGGAATGAGCTGGTTTGGGTTCTGAGTGGAAACTTGGTAGAAATTTCTTTTTTGTTATTGAAAGAATGAAGTTTACTTTTCTCCTGAGAATTTGGGCAAGATAGTAATTTCTCTAAGTTCTAGCCAGTAAATTTATGATTACTTAGCAGGAATATGTTCCTAGGTATATTTTAAACTCATCTTTTATCATGTCCAAACAACTTTTTTCCCAGGACTGAAGCTTGGTAGAGGAGACAGTAGAGCACAATTTTTATTTTCCTATTTTTTTTTTAGGGGACTCTACATAGCTGTTATATTTTATTACAAAGACAATATCTTAGTCACCAATGAAGATCAAATACCGATTGTTGAAATAGATGACTCTCATACCAGCTCCATTACACAAGATTTTCTGTGGTTCACAAAGGTATTCTGAGTTCTGATTTGCTTTTTCCCCCACTTTGTACCAATGTTACTGCACACGAATCTCTAAAACCTTAGTTGAGGGGTCTCCAGTGATCAAAGTTTGGGGGTAAAAGTAAATTATCTCAAAGGTTCCCTTCAGTCCTAATATACCCTATGTCTTAAAAAAAATGCCAAAGTAGTGTCTACACTACAGTTTCAAAGCAAAGAGGCTTGCATCCTGTCAAATTGTGTCTCCACTATTCTGAGTTATGGGATCATTTGGCAAAGACTAAAATGTGGATCTGACTGTTTCATTAGCATTCAGATCTTTTTCCAATTGGACAGAGATCAAAAAGTTGTTTCGCGTGTATCTGAAAATGGACTGGAGAACAAACATCAGGGGTCAGGTTTCCTTCTCCCTGCTTTGCTTTGATCCCACAACCTAAATCATGTACTGGCTTGGACGATGATATGACCTCGTGACTTCTTTTGCAGCTGTCTTGTATGTGGGAAGATATAAGGTGGTTGAGGCAAAGCGTACCTACCTCCATGTCTTCATCCACAGTGCTGCAAACTCGGCAGAAGATGCTCACAGCAGCAGCCCAGCTACAGGTGAGGGGCCAGGTTTCAACCCAGACCTCAAAGGAAACTTTTAAAAAAGTGGACAGTTCAGCTACCAATCCTACCTGGGGAAAAAAGAAAAAATGGTCAGCTCCTTCCTCATTCACATGAATGCTTCTTGGACAGTTGGAGCTGCATACCTGCTCATGTGGGGAAGCTGTGCATTTGGCAATCTCCTCTAAGGGGGTCTCTCTTGAAAAGTCTATGAGTATCACACTAAATAAGGAATAAAGAGACTTGAGCTCTATATTTGATATTAATTAATCAACTCATTTTTTCCTTTCATCACTTACAAAATAAGAGAAGTCTGATCACTTAAAGAACCCTTACTGCTCTGGTATCCTATGTATCTATGAGTGTGTGGAGATGGAAACAGAGACCAGCAGATGTTCTGAGGGGTTTCTTGGTAAAGCATAAGGATTTGTGTACATTTTTTCTTAGTTATGAAAACAAACAAAAAATAACTCTTAAAAGATTATCTTTAATCCTGCATTTATTCATCCTTCCATACTATCAATCAAATCAGATCAAGTCCCCAATCTTTGTAGGTCACAGAGCTCCTCCTAGAAAAAGACACTGAATTCTTACCAAGCTCTCTGGGTTTTCCTGTCACTGTTTTCTGGTGTTAACAGAATTTGTGGTTCTTAGTACAGAAAAACATCTGCTACATGGAGTTGGTGTCCTTAAGAGATTGCTGAGCCTTTATCAGTGATGAGTGTCTACCTACAAAGCTGTCAGTTACATCAACCACAGAATTATGCATAACAGAAATCTAAGTTGTGTTTGACCTGGCCATACCAGCCACACTATAAAAATAGAGTCACATTAACAACAAAAAAAATGTTCTGTGGCTCCACACCCCCCCACAATTATAAGAACTTCATTTCTTAAACCCCAAAATAATAACAATTCCTCTGCAATAATAAGAATTATTGTGTTGCTATTATAATTAATTCTGAAATGTAAATTTTGCCCCTCTATGCTACACAACATTACATAGATGGTTTACTGCCTTGTGTCTTCAATGACATTTCGGCAAACAGTGTTCTTCATTTCAACTCTTGATTGCAGAATCTTCTCCTCCAACTCAAGGAGAAGTTCTTGAAGCCTGGCCATGATAACTATGCTGAATTCAAAGTGCCGCTTCGTTTCGTCACTGACCAGTTGAGTTGGACCATGCCTCTGTACCTCTTTCTTTAGGATAAAGTTCACTCCCAGGGGGCTCAGACTCCTTAGTGGACCCTCCCATTAGCCCACCATACAATCCAGATATGCCTGGATCACAGACTGAACAACTTTAGAATTTCAAGTGGGGATCTTTATTATGTGTTTATTGGAGGCTTCCTAGAATACTTTCATCTGATATCAGTAACATGAGAAGGATCAGGCTGTTACAAGTCAGTGCAGCCAGACGCTGAGGGACACCAACATGGCCAGTGTGATCTTACTCAACTACTCCATTGCAATACATCTTGGATTTCCTCAACCCCCAAATCTATTGACTCTACTATTTTTCATAATGTACCAGCCCACTTCTCAAACCATTTCCCTCCTTGTCCAGCTTAGATTCCTTGGCCCATCTTACTTCCTTGAAAATATTCTAAATTTTCTCCCTCCATATTTTTTATTTGGAAAAATTCCAAGCCTGGATGAATATAACATATCTATGCTAAAGTAGTTGCACATTGCTGCAGAAAAATCACACACACAAAAAAGCTGACTGGTTTTATGTTAAATTATGACTACGGTTCTCACATGTAATGTTTATTTCACTTCTCTACTAAATTTATTCTCCCACGCTATAAAGCAACTATTTAAAACCTTCTCCATTCTCTCACATCCCTATCTCAGGGGATGACTTCACTGTATAACTCATTAAGGAAAAATGTGAATTGATGATTTTTCCATTGCCAAATTTACAAACCTCCTTGTACTGTCCCTACCTTCTCTTTCTTCACTCCTATTTCAACAGATAAAAGTCTCACTCCTTCTACCACAAGCTCATTCCTCCACATGTGCACTGGATCCCATCCCTTTCCTCCCATTTTTATTTAAAAATATTCAAGTCTCTCCAATTTAATCTCCCCCCAAATCCCATCCTTAGCCCCACATGCCCCTTTAGCAACCAAACTATCTTTCTTCTCTTCCTTATACCGAAACTTCTTCAAAGAGTTACCTACATCCTCATTCTCCACTGACTTCTTTTCCCATCAGTTCTCAGTGCTTTCTCTGTCTTTTGCTGCCATCATGCCTACAAAACTGCTCTCTAAGGGCACCAGTAATCAGAGGCAGATGATGCTGATGAAGCTGGAGTTACAGGGTCCCTCACTTGCATGAGCCTCTGCGAGTGTAGGATTTAGAGTGTTTTAGGTGGGGAGGGAAAGTTGGGTCACAGTCAGGAAGCATTTCTGGTAAATTGCCTAAAGAAATTTCAGGGAGAAAAGGAGACCCAGAATTCCAAATACTCTAGTATTTGCTGGGAGGGAGCAGGATTTCTTTTATCATTCTAAATAAATATTTACTTTTACACCTACTCTTACATTTGTAATTTTGTCTTCCTTGTCTTAAAGATGGCTCCAAAATTATGTGGTTCAGGCCCCCATAAAAACCTACATCAATCCTTGCCAATGACTTCAGTTTAACTAAATCCAATGAACACTTTTAAGTCCTTTTCACAACTGACATCTCAGCAGCATTTGATACACTTGGTCCTTCTCTCCTTTTATAAACTGCCATATCCATTGGCTTCCACTCTCCTGATTTCACACTCTCCTGATTTTCTTCCAACTTCCTGGCCTGTCATTCTCAGTCTCCTTTGCTAGCTCACGTGCTCTTTCTTCTGCTTAGAATCCTCTTCTTCCACCTCTTTGCCTTGCTAATTCCTACATATCTTTCAGGTCTCAGCTTAATTTTTATACATTCTCCAAAAGCCTTTCTTGGCCCTCCTGATTAAGCAAATGACTCTCATCGTGGCTTGTATTTCTTCATTCAGAACAATGGTCATAATCCCATAAGTTAATTATTTGTATTATTGTCTGTTTAGTGATCCACTTGGACTGTGAGTTCTTGAGTTAAGGGAATGTGAATGTCTCGGTTACCACTATATCCCCAATGCCTGGCATGTGGTAGACTCTTAGTAAGTACAGGTTGCATAAATAAATGCATTTGTCAGTCTAACCTCATGGACCCCAAAGATCACACTTACGGGAATCTCTACCTAACCAAAGGGAAAAGGGATCACAGAAATGTGTCTTGTACCACAGTTACCATCTGGATAGTTCCCCAGTCCTGCACAGTGACCAGAGCCTCACAGTCCTCAATAAATTGTCACCCCTCATAGTACCTCCATCAAGGCCTGAGCACTGTTACACATTCCCTTCTCTCCACATTTCATTTCGCCTGGTTAAATAACAGGAGTTGCTTTAATTTTTTTCTTTTTTATAGGACCTATTGGCCAAACTATTTACTGGTCTCTAGAATGAAAATGTCTAGAAATATTGAAGGCACCTTTTCTCAGGGGAAGGGGAGAGGGCATGGAGGTAAAGTATAGAAAAAACTGCTCAGAAGGGGAAGAAATAGAAAGGTGTGGATTTACACACACTTAATAGTTTAGGTCACTTTACTAACCTACAGTGTTCTGAGGAAAGTAAAAATGAATTATATTAATATATAGCTTGATTGGCATCAATCACACATCCTGTTGACTTACCTCTGGGCTATCTCATTTTACTCTCCTCTCCTTTCTGATTTTACTACTACAGCCCAATTACTCCAGTTTGGTCTAAAGCCTCCAAAGTTGTCCCTCTGCTTCCAGCCTTAACACCCTCTGATCCACTCTCCACACTTTTCCCAAAGTAGCCAATTTAAAAGATTCTGACCAAGGCATTCTCTGACTTAGACTCCTTCAGTAGCGGCTGAAACATTTTATCATGGCCCAAAAAGGCATTAATCATGATCTTTCTACCCATCTTCTGTGCCCGTAGCACTCTGACTTACCTTCATCTCCATGCACACCAACCACTGTGCAATTTGTACCTTGTTTTTCTGTGAGCATAAGGCTCAGAGTGTTTCTGCTCTATAATGAGGTCCTTTAATATATAATAACAAATAATAATGGTGAAATGACTATTTTCATTTCACAGCCAAGGTGCCAAGCACTTTGCTAAGTGCTTTACAAACTTTATCTCATTTAATCTTCACCACAACATAATGAGAAAGTATGAATATAATATTACTGGTATTCCTTTAACATGATAAAACTGAGGCCTAGAAAGATTCATTTGTGCCCAAGTTTGCACAGATAGGAAGTAGCAGAGTTTTGATTAAAATTCAGATTTATATAACTCCAAAGCCTGCATTCTTTCTAATACTCCATCATCTTACTGTGTGTTAATTTACAAAAAGCAGAAAAAATTTTTTAAATAGAAAATACTATCCACATTATAGTAAAAAGAAAAAGTAGAGAAGTCTATTGTGCATCATTAGAAGTGGCTTTATATTTCATTTGAGAGAAGATGAAGTGTGCATTAATTAATTAGCTAATTAATTAAAATTACCAAGGCAGGAGGAGAGACAAGTATCTGTCAGAATTTGGATAAAAAGAATTAAGATGAAAAAGCTTGTAAGTGATCAAAAGCCTACATTGTTTTTCTTTCTCTTACAAAAATGGCAGAGGTCTCAAGTGGGAGAAGTGTACATTGCTCTTACATTGAGAAGTGTCAAAACTACTTACTTTCAAAAGACAGTAATAATCTGACATTATAAATTGTGTTACATTAAACTTTCCTCCTCCATATCTTTTAGAAATGAGTGTTAGTTAAGTAAGAGTTAGGCAACAACTTATGAATACTATATCTTTTTTATTAGTCAAAGGGAAAAAAATGATTTTCCCAAAATTTTACTCTTCTTTTTCAGGCCTTCTTATGACTCTGGACTTCCTTTAACTGCCCATGTTACCCCAAAATAAAGGTCTCTTAATATGGTGCCTCTGTCTAGGGCTTATTGATAGTCCTGTGATTTGTTCTGGTTATAACCAAGATGCATTCCTGTTAGCGATTGGTGGCTCTTGTTCCTTTCCACTTTGTGTAGGGTCATCAGGGGCCCAGGTCATTTAACCTCAATTATATAGCATGACAGGTATTAACATGGTCTATTTTTCAGGCCCTGAGACCACTGAATTTGCCCCCTTGGAACATGATTGAAATTTATTTTCACAATAACATCCTATTTTTAAATTGGGCTCTCCCCAAAGCTGGCTCTCCAACCCAATTTGATGTCAATGAAAAATTTCAGAAAGATTTCTAGTTCTTTCTTACTCATCCCATTAAAAAACCTATCCAAAGCTGATAATGAACCACTGACAATAACTTTGTTTCAGTGAAATGATCACCTCAATCAATGTCTACCCATAAGCTTCAATTCAAAGTGAACCATATTTTCCAATGTCTTAATATAGTATGTTAATTTAGTCAACAAAAAGTTACTGATCTCTTACTATGTGACAGGCACTGTGCATAGAAGGGACCCAGCCATGATCTCATGACACATACACAAATACAGGCAGTAAACCCAGAGACACGCTAAGATGGAAGTTTGTACAGGAAGCAATAGAGGACAAGAGAGGGGATGGTAAATTCTACCTAAGAGAGTTGGGAAAGTCTTCCCAGAGAAGGTGAAATCTGGGCTGCATCTTGAAAATGAGTAGGTGTAAGTCAGGGTGGGATTCCAATTAGAGCAGTAAAGAAAGCTCATACTCTACATTGTATCAAGCTTGAGCATTTACAAAGCACTTTTTCAAGCATTTCTTGATTTAATCCCACAAACACTCAATGAGGTAAAGATTAGCATAATCGATGTCTGAGCTGAAGGACTCAATTTTAGATGATGAAACTCAGGACTAGACAGGGTAAATAATTTTTCAGAAGTCCAACAGTTACGGCAGCCAGCCCTGAAACTCAACACCAAGTATTAATAAAAGTTCAATAGCAATGGTAGGCTGGAGCCAACTTGTACTCACCTAGGAGGGCCAAATGTAGAATATTCAGGAATTTTGAAAACTTGTATCAAACCCTTGGTGACTTGAAATCCACTTTAGCAGGAGTATTTACACCACAGAAATTGGCATATGCTACAAATTAGTCCCTTTTTTTTTTCTAGTTAGTTTATCAGCATCGTACTGCTTCCTAGCAGCAAACTTCCTCTATATAAAACTATAGTACTACATAGGGCTTGACTAAAAGCCATACCCAAGCTACTTCTCTATAATTTGGAAGTAAATTATTGGAAAGAAAAAAATCTGAGCGATTAGACCATTTAAAAAAAATTAATAATAATCTTGCCAAATACTTATAATGTCAATAATTATATATGAAATTCCAAACTTTTTATGTGTCTAATCTTTGTGAGGAAGAATAAATGGGTTAAGACATAGTTCCTACCTACCTATAAGAGAAGATTCCAGTGTTTGCACAGATGTGGATATTGACCACCTGGCTCATTCACTTTTAGGTCATCCTTGTCACTTTCGCAAATTCCAGTTCCACTTTTGCTGTCATGCTAACAGGGCATCTTAACCACCATTTATGTGAGCTCATAAAAATAACAGCTAGGAACTCTGGTATCATTTATAATTTTAAAAAATCATATATATTTAAAACAGGAGGAAATTTTATCCTATTCATTCAGGGCTCTAGATTAGAAATCTTCAAACACTGCATATTTGTGAAATTCCTGTTTATTTCAGTAACAACTACCAAGGCTTCTCCACATTTAATGTGGCATCCTTCCCTTCCTACCTTTCTAACAGGATTGTCTGCCTCAGTTGACCCAGTTAATAAGCAACTTTAACAAACTTATAAATAAATAGAACTCGCTGAAATGCAGATAAGTCAAACCAGGCCAATCTTCCAATTAAAGTATCTTGAAGGGAATGTGTAGTCATTTGGGGACCTGTACAATGTGCTACATTGTCAATTCACTTCTTCATTTTAAACAACCCCACCTCATAGCAGCTTACTGTAGATCTCTTGAGAACTCCACAAGTTGCATACTTTAAATATCAAGCATTTTTCTTTAAAACATCTGGGATTCTCTTCAAGTGCTGGTAACTGAGGCTTATGTGCTGGTGTGTCTATGTGGGTAAGAGATATTTACAGATATTGAATTTGCTTTAAAAAAACATGATTTTTGAGCCTGTTACTATAATCTTTGCAGACTCATGGTGAAGACATTTTCCTTGAGCATCTGTTAAGTACATTTCTATGATGCCACTTATTCTAGGTTTAAGTGGAAAAAAAACAAAAAACAAAAAACCACTTCTTAGAAATCAGGCCATTATTTATAGTGTCTTTTGTTGCAGTTGCATTGCTTTGTTTGCATGATACCTAAGCTACCAGTAATTTATTTGTTTCTAGAATTTACTTGGAACACACAACTTGGGAAGAGTCTACTATGAGCCCATTAAAGATCGACATGGAAATATACTCATAGTCACCATCAGAGAAGTAGAGATGCTTTATTCATTTTTTAATGGCAAATGGATGCAGATCTCAAAGCTGCAAAGCCAGAGGAAGTCTCTGTCAACACCCGAGGAGCCAACAGCCTTAGACATTTTACTGATAACCATCCAGGTATGTAGTTTGTTGTTTTTTTTTAAGTTCAAAATATATATGAAATTTCAAGCACAATTATTGAGGCCCTAGTGAAATATCCCAAGAGCCACTGTCATATGCCGTGATGGGGTAGAGAGGGTGCAGGGACATGTTGATGCTCATATTCCACACATAGGAAAGATGCAGAAGCTGATTTTTATTGATAACTCTCCAGACTGAAATTCATCAAGCAATACAAATAGTGGGTACCCTGAAGATGCCCTGACCAATGAACCAATGAGAAACACTGAGACAAATCATTTAGTAGGGAATCTAAAGATAGTATAATCAAAACATTAAACTCATGCCTAAATGGATTGTAATATATGGCACTTTGAACAAAAGCACTCTTGTACATATTTACTCTTTCTTGTTCCTTACAATACTCCCTTAGGGCAGACAGGCATAATTAAGTCCATTTTAGGAATGAAATAACTGGAGCTCAAAGAACTTGAGTCACATAGGGCTACACAAAGAGACAATTTAATGAAGCTAATGAAGCTTCAGTGGCATTCAGCTCTTCACTTGCACAAGCCCCTTCTAGGTCCTGGCAGAGACTCTAGCAATTTTGTATTCTTTTCCTTAAAGAGGGCACCAGAAACTATATTAGCTTCAGGCCCCTCAAGGCTTGAATTTGCCCTTGGGAAGATGGTAGAGCTGAGACTTCAATTCAGATCTGCTGATTAGAAGTAGGCTTCTTTCTGCTAGGTTATCTCTCACTCTGGAGTAGGAGTTCAGGTTTCAGTGAGTGAGGGATGGGAGATTAAATAAAAGATGAAAGACTCCACTGCGTATTGAATGTCCACCAAAATTCAAAATCTAGGCAGCTTACATTCAGACTTTTAGCTTGGAGAGTGGAACTTGGACACCATGTCTGCTCCTGCACCCATAGCTCTCTCCCTGCCACCATGCTGCCTCATGCGTTCATACATTTCAAGCTGTTTCTTGTTCATTTTTTTCTTTCTTTTCTTAAACCTAGTGATGGGGATGAATGGTATAGAACCCTCCAGTTAGGTAGAAAAGCTGGCAGAAACATCTACATTGAGCTCCTTACCACCAATGGCATATATTCACAACAGTTAATCTGGAGTAAGAGGAAGAAGGGCCCAGTCACACAGAAACAAGCCAAATCCAAGCCTCAGCTCCAGGAGCCATTCACAGTCACCCTAAACAGCTAACGTACTCTATAACTTACTTTCATTCCCCACAAACGGGTGGCTAATACAATAATCTCACCTTTTCATTACTTGCACTGGCCCAAACCAGGACAAAGTCCAGTGTAGCAAAGGCAAGTTAATTGCTCAAAGCCAATACCTCTGGATTTGATTTTCTGGAATTTGGGTTCATAGGAAATTGATAGTGTGTGCATGTGGGAAGGAGGTGGGGGCAGGGAACACAGGCACATCCGTGGCTCCCCTCTTCACCTTTTATAAGCAAGTGTTAAAAGAAACATTTAAAAAATCATAATAAATTGAGCTTTTACAGGGTGACTAATACACTAATCCCCTATAGGGATAAACTGGAGTCTGGGCTACCTTTGCTCCTAGAAACACAGCACAGGTCTCAGCATGATATAATACCTGGTTTCTCCTAGACTTATTACATTAAAAATGTGTTACAGGTGCAGAAAAATTCCAATCTGGTGAAAGGTTGTTAGAGAAGGAGACCAAAAATAGAGGCAGGATCAGGTTTCCACACAGATCCAAGTGGAAAATGTACCCCCGCTGACTGGCACATTCCTGCTTGATGTCATTCCCACCCACCCCCACTCTCCCTTCTCCTCCCCCCACTTTTTCCTCTCTCCCCTCCTTCCCATACAGGTCTTACACTGCAGAGGAAATGGGGAATAAAACTATGAGGGCCAGTATCCAATCCCTCCTAGACTTAGAATTTAATTACGTCAGGAGTTGGCGCCACCAACTCAACATGAAGGGAGAGATAGATCTTGGTGGTGTCCAAAGCAGGCTGGGTGATTCCCACAATAACAGGCCACAGACCACACTCTCTTTTCTCAGGAGCAATGGAGCCATGACCCCCAGGCCCTCTGATTAAAAGCCTGGGCTTTTCATGCCACAATCACATCACAGATGTGATGTGACACTCTGAGACACTACTTTGGAATCAGGCTGACTAGGTATTCTTCCTGAGCACACCCTTTCTGGTTATGTGACTAGGACATGTTATTAACTTCTCAACCCTCGTATTTCCTTCTCTGCAAAAAACCCTACTTCATAGGGTTCCAATGAAGATTAAGTGAGTTAATATGTAAAGCATTATAAGAATAGCACAAAGTAAGCACTCAATAAATGTTAGTGATTTTTGTTATTTCTCTATTCAGAAAAATTCAAGCACTGCTAGGCTGCCCTTGGGACACACTCAGTCATCTTCTCTGCCCTGCTCCCCTTGGAGACCTCTTATACTGGCCCAATCACCCCATGGGGCATTTCATCACTCTCACTACCTTTTCATACGTACTAACTAAGGAAAAGCTGTATACAAACTATATAATCCACAATAGGATTTTCAAAACAGGAAAGGGCTTTAACAAAATCTGGGCCCATAACTAATCTACTAATCTCTAGGGTCCCAGGGAAACTCCAGTGTCCAACTCCCTCAAATTTCTGACCCTCTCAAACCCCAGACCTTAAAAACAGGCCTCTCTCATATATATGCAAAATAGAGAAAAATTCTTCTCACACTTACCTGGGAAGGAAAAGAGAGTTACTATGGACAAGTTAGAATCCCTCTGAGAAAATTAATTGGTAGCGAGAGTATTTCTAATAGGGACGCCCCTCCCAGGTGCTGAGTTACTCTGATCATGCTCTTCAGGGATCACTTCACTCACTGGAAGCTTCACATGTGGAGTTTTCTCTAAAGATTAATCTCTCACATGTGTACTATATATTCAAGTTCATAACACTTTATCGCATTTTTATATCATGTGATCCTCATGAAAACCCAATGAGGTTGAGTGAGGAATTTTGTGTCCAGTTTGCAGATGAAGCCATGGGTTTCAAGAAAATAACTTGCCAAGGTTATATCAGCCAAAAAAACAGCAGATGAGGGACCAGGACCCATGTCTTCTGAGTGCTGGCCTGGTGCCCTTCCCATTCCATCATATTGCTTTACATGCCCTCCCCCCTCCTTTTCTCTGTATCCTTTTTGTAAAGTGTGATCCTAGGGAAGCTGTGGTGAAGTTTGCCTTCTATCCCCTCCCAGCCCTGCTTTCCTTCTTCTCCTATGGCATTTCTTGTCACCTCCAGGTACCCAGTGTCTTCTTCTTATGCACTAGGTACCCAATAACTCTTCTGCCCGTTTCTGCTTTTTGCCAGTACATTCCGACTCTTTATACCCCCAAGCAGCTCCAAACACAGCGATCAAAAACTTCTGGAATCACAAAGACTGATGGAAATGGGCCAATTGGGCTAGACTTAAGAAAAAACTGGGTTCACGCAAAAATTTCGTCACCAATGTTCATAGATGCATTATTCATAATAGCCAAACAGTAGAAACAACCTAAATGCCCAAAAACTGATGAATTAATGGGTAAACAAAGTGTGGCATATCCATATAATGTAATATCATTCAGCCATAGAAAATGAATAAAGTATGATACATGCTACAGAGCCAGACATAAAATGCTACCTACTGTGATTCCATTTAGATGACATGTTCATAACAGGCAAATCCATAGAGATAGAAAGTAGATTAGTGATTCCAGGGGCAGGGGGAGGAGAGATTGGGAAATGACAGCTAATGAATGTGAGGTTTCTTTCTGGAGTTATGAAAATCTGGAAATAGTGGTGATAGTTGCACAACTTTGAGAATGTACTAAAACCACTGAATTGCACACTTGAACAGGATGAATTTTATGGTATATGACTTATATCTCATTTTTTAAAAAAAGAAAGAAGTGGAAGTAATAGAGACCATGTTAATCTGGGGATCCCTTGTCCCATCTAAAGAGAGAAGCACCTATTCAGCCTCAATTAATTATAGTAGAAGAATATGGTCCAGTATTGAAATATTTCCCATTTTTTGAAAATAAGTTGAAAATCCAGAATTTTGTATAAAATCTTTTTATATTTATAATTTATAAAATGATTCAGAAAATTTAAATTATTTGCAGTGCATATAATGTTGGACCCACAAAGACCACCAGCCACCATTTTGTGACTTCTGTCATCCTGGACAATTCAGCTTCCATACCCCATCAGGCAAAGTAAAAGCACTGTAGTTATTGGAAAAGCAACTGTTTATTGTTCCTCTAATGAGTTCTCAGGATATCTGATCAATGAAGAGAGGATGGATACACCCTTCCTAGTCACTGTACCAGCACAACATATTCTCTCCCAACTCCTCTCCTTCTCTCCCAACTCCTCTCGTCCTCTCCCTTCATATTTAATAAACATTTTTTTCAACATCATCTAGGTGCCAAGCACTCTTCTAGGTGCTATAGGAAAAACAAATGAACAAGTCACAGTCCCTGCTCTGAAGGAGTTCAGTCAAAGGAGGGAGACAGACTTGTAAACAAATCAAGGTAATACAAGGTGGAATTAAACCAGAGCCTGATAAGTACAAACAGCATACTATAGGAGCACAGACAAAGCAGCTATTAATTCTGCCTGGGAGTATCAGGGAGTGCATTGCAGAAGAGGTGGCATTTGGCTGAGCCATGAAGGTAAGTTAAGTTCACCAGATAGAGAAAAATAGAAAACGAAAGAGCAAAAAAGAAAGAAAAGAGGAAGGAAGGAAGGATTCAAATAGATAGAATTAAATTAAAGAGGGGGCATGGTAAAGAAATGAGGCAGAAGCTGGAAGAGTAGAGAGCTCACTCTCCCTTGGGCCTACAATGGACCTTACACAGTCTTCTCATACCCTTTATCATCCTGGCTTAGAAAAACTTGCTTACATGTTCCTCTCACACACTGAAATGTGAGTTCCATGAAGAGAAAGATCATGTGTTGTTCATCTTGATGTCCTTAACATCCTAGCTTACTGCCTGATACATAGTAGGTACTCAATAATAGACAGAATGAATGAATTGATAGAATGAATGAATTTATGAAACAACAAACAATGAGAGAGATTAGGACATGTATGGGGAAAGACAAAAACCAATTCATTTTGTCTGGAGATTACGGACACAATGGGGTTATAGTGGAACCGGGGTTAGAAATGCAGGTTAGAAGTTAAATAAGGTAATATGTAGACCCATAGGTATTCAATTTGGTGTTAGAAGGCTCTTCTGGTATACTTAGGTTATGTGACTGAGACAGCTTCTTTCTCTTCCCATGTATTTCTCAGGCTCTAAAACATTCTGACTAATGAGGGATAAATGACAATGTAAAGCCAAGAAAACACATAGTAGATTCTCAGTAATCATCTTTTAAAAAAATTGATTGATAGAGTGAATTACTCCATCCCAGAATGGTGTTTGCTTTTATATAACCACAGTGTGTTCCTAACTCATATTCTATTTGTGGTCGGTTCTGACCCCCACATGTTTTTCTCTTACACGCCTGCCCATCCTATATTTGTACTCTTGGGTTTAGATCTTTACAAGCACATTTTCTTATTAAGTTTCAACCCTAATTATTGTAGACTTATTTTTCCAATGCATGGGGTCATTCAGAGCTTTATTACTATTTCCAGAAAATCAAAACCACACCAAATTTGAGACCCACAAATTTGATATGCACATTCTTGATTTCTTTGTTTGGAACACCAATAAATGAGCTGAACAGACTGGTCCTCAGGCCCAGTCCCTACTGGGCCATCACTCAATATGTCTATTTCCACATCATCTCCATCATCCACAAATCTTCTACCAATATTCAGCTTGTTAAAGTAGTGTGGTCAAGATCCTACTTTTCCCAGGTTATCTAGTGAAATCGATTGTACTGCAGACTTATCCCTGGTCTGTGGATCCTGTTCCTTTGCTGTTAGAAATTAAAGTTGTCCATATGATTTGCTCTTCACAAAACCATGTTGACTCCACTTTAGTGTCTCACGATTTCCTGGGTGACTGCAAATTGATTGTTTGATGGTTCTTTCTCATTTTTCTCAAAGATCAATAAGTTGTCAGTCTTTAATTACTAGGGCCAACCTGTGTTTCTCCCCTTCCTGTTTCAAAGGCAGGCATATTTATCCTATCCTAGTCTTTAGGGACTTCGCCAGTTCTCCATGACTTCTCAAAAATAATGACCCATGAGTCTGTAGCCACATCTGCTTGCTCAGCAAGTATCCCTGGGGTGTATATCATCAAATTCGGCTGATTTGAATACTTCCATTGTTTTCTTCCCTCGTTAACCATTTCTCTCCCTTTGATTAGCTGTTCATTTACCAAAATTCCACATTGGGTGAATTTCTTCCAGTCAACTACTTACCTGTGATCTGTTCTGAAGAGAAAAGCTAGAAAACATTAAAAAGTTCAGACTTATCTATTTCCTGATATAAAGGAGAATTCCTTCCTTCTTGATCATGAAATCAATTTTCCTTCTAGTCTATTTTTTTACCAAATGTTTTTTAAAAGTTGTTTATATTTTTCTTTTCTGAACATGCTCCTTAAATCTTGCTCCCAATTGTGACCATTCTCATGTTGTCCCTCTTACTCTATTCCCATGTGTTCAGTTTAAGGGATCTGGCCTCATTTCCACATTGTGCACCTTTTTTACACAGAAATAGTATTGGATACTAAGGACACAAAGCAATAAAAAAAACACAGTCCTACCATTACTTTCATAGTCTAATTTAAGAAGAGAACAGAAAGGAAGAAAAATATAAGTTAAGTACTCCTTCTGCTGTATGCCTACTTGCCTCTGTTATAACTGACCCCAGCATATTGTGATCAACCATTTACTTGTATTTCTTGACCTCCTCAAGAGTAGCAATCACATTATGTTCATCTGAAATGCCAGTGTCTGCTATAGTGCCTTATACACTACAGGAAGTCAATATGTGTTTGATAAAGGGTGGGACAGAAGAGACACAACAGCATATGTTAGATGTTGCAGACAGTTAATTCTACAGAGGAGAGATCATATCTTCAGAATACAGTGGTCAAGAAAGGCCCCACACCTTTCCGTTCCATATAGAGTTCCATAAAAGTTTAAATGTTTGCTTTTGTTTTCCTTCTCACCTTTCCTGCATTAAGTGGTAGAGATGATTTCATTTTACCTTATTAAAAAATTTATTTATTTTATTATTATTTATAATTGACAAATAATTATGGGGTACAAAGTGATGTTTTGATATCTGTATATAATGTGCAATAATTAAGTCAACCTAATTAACATTTCTATCACCTCACTTACTTATCATTTTTTTTTTGTAGTGAGGCCATTTGAAATTTACACTCATAGTTATTTTACCCTTGTTGAAAACCAGGCTAAATTCTAGCCTATAGGAAACCTTCCCTTAAAATCAGTTACCTGACTCATCAGTCCCAACTTTGTATCACACATCCCACTGCCCAAATGTTTAAAAAGTCTTATCTATGATGTGGCAGAGGAGGGAGAATGTCGGTTTTTCCCAATTATCCATTATCTGAGTCCCTGCAGTTGTATAGGGAAACAAAATTCATAACTCAAATAGTTCACTGGAGAACTGACCACATATACAGCAGATTCCATTCAAACATCCTTCTGTGCTTAACTTGGTTGGCACTTCCTATTGCAGAAGCAACTTTGTTCAGTCTCTGCTGCTTGTGGAATACTGTGATGTGACAGTATTACATGCAAATGCAATGTGAATTGATTACAAGGCAAAATTTAAAATCTTGTAAAAGATACCGAATTTTGTGAAGTTGATGAAGATGATATGGAAACCTAATCAAATCACACGCAAAGCCACTGACAACTGAGAATCTAGAAGTGGTAGACCAGTCAGCCAATGTAGAGCATTAAAATAAACAAGGACTATATAAGAATATGAATAGAATATCAAAATTTGAAAAGATTCCAGGGGAAAAAAATCATGAAGCCTTCAAATACTTTTGAAAAAATTATCCTTTTCATGATCATATTGTGAAAGTCAAATATGAAGAGTATCATTTCGGCCACAATTTCGTCTGAAAAATTAAGCCAAAAAAAAAAAAATCAATGCCTGATTCATTCTTAATTCTTAGTATTAACACACAATTATAACAACAACTTAAATGTTAATAATATAAAATAAGCCTCTTAGCATTATTTTTTGTTTTAATTTTCAAGATAAGGATCAGTCAGGCATTTTTTCCTACCTACTACAAATTTGATTTTATTTTAAATGGTTTCATTTAAAAATTGACTGTTTAACCATCCAGAAACTAAAAAGCATCCTTGTAACTGCTTTGTCAGATTGTACACTTGCAAGCGTCTGTTTCTCCCAGCTAAACAGTAAGCCCTCCAAGGACAGAAATCAAGAATTCAATTTTGCTTTAGGCTTCCACCACCACCAGCCTATTCCCAATTAGAACACACACACATACCCCAGCACATAACTGAGGAAAATAAGGATGTAGAATATATTAAAGACTGATTACCTGACCTGGAAGAGAATTCTCCTAAAGGTAAGACTAGCTGTACCACCAACATTTCCCCAGAATTCATGGTTGTACCTGAGGTTTCTCACCTAATTACTTAACCACAGCTCCCTTCATTCATGATAGGCCTGCCTTAGAGAGGAAAAGGTTTTGAGATTGCCTTTTGAGATGTTTTTCTGTTTTTTGTTTGTTTTTCACCCAACAGGATATTCTCTCCTATCACAAGAGGAGTCATCAGCGTCTCTCTCCTGGATTATATCTGGGTTACCTAAAGCTATGTAGCTCTGTGGATCAAATCAAAGTCCTTGTTACCCAAAAGTTGCCCAACATTCTCTGCCATGTGAAGATCCGTGAAAACAATAACATTTCCAGGTAAGTTGTCAGGAGTTGAGATTTTTCTTGAGATGAAACAATGGCTCAAGTGGCTAATGTGATGTGTCAGAAGAAAAGTGAAGTATTAACTTCCCAGTGAGTGTTAACTTCTATGGTGAGATAAGCCCAAGGATGACAGTGGAACAGGGCAGAGCTGAGTTTTGACACTAGGATAAGGTGGGCTTACCTGTTGGTTGGTGGGAGGAGTAAGCCCATCAGAGGCAGGCACTATCTTTGTACTTTCCTCTCTGCATTATTCATGGTGCAATCACTGATGCTCAACCTGTTAATAAATAGATGACCTTTTCTTTCAACACTGCTATTTCTAAAATCTTTTCCTTATCATCTAAAACAGATATTTTCTTTTTTTCCCTTTTTAAAAAAATTTTTAGGTTTTTAAACATCACCTATAGGAATGGATTTCATAGAGCTAGTGAGCTCCCACCCCCCCCCATCTTAAAGGACTTCCTCACCTTCATTCTCCCTACCGCTAACTCTCTGGCCTGAGGACCTTATATGTTTTCTACACCCCTTATGATTCTCTAGGGAAGAAATGAGGTAACAAGGCTTGAGCTTCTGGAAACTTGCTGTATGGTTTGGCATTTGGTGAATTACCCTGTTAGCATTGGGAAAGTTGCCCAATCTTGGTAATCTGGCTCAACTTTACAACTAATCCTCATAGCAAGCCTCTGAAAGTCAACTATCACAAACAGAATTGTGCTCAACATGACGAAAGAAAGATGAAAGAGAGAGAGAGAGAGAGAGAGAGAAAGAAAGAAAGAAAGAAAGAAAGAAAGAAAGAAAGAAAGAAAGAAAGAAAGAAAGAAAGAAAGAAGAGAAGAAAGTAGAGAAAGAAAGTAGAAAAGAAAGGAATAAATAGATAAGAAAATAAAAAAAAATTCTCCAGAGTTCTTCAAGCTTCAGAGTATGAACTAGATTCTCAAATTCTAGTTATATCTATGGCTTTGCTTAACCAAAGGAGACTCTAATTTGGTCATTTAAAATGTGGTCCCTAAAATGGCAAGAATTTATTAATTATAATGTCTCACAAGGTTTATTAAATAATACTTGATGATGATGGAGGAGATGATGATGGTCTCTTAGAAGAACTCACTCACTACTATGTTCTCGCCTTTCCCTTATCAAGTACACCTGGACTTTAAGTCTGCCATCTGGTGGTCACTTCCACAAGCAATATTGGTTATCTCCTCAGTCCTTCCAAAACATTACATGGCTTATTTTGGGGTTCACTTAGGAATATGTACTTGCATCCATTTTCTAGATTTGTGTTTTAAAGGCTTAAACTCTGTCTCTTAGTGGTTATACCAATTAATTTCCCCTTCCCAAGGATCCAAGTTTCATTTGAACACACGATTCCAAAAGCCTTTACTCTACCAGTTCCATCTCCCTCATTCTTCTAGCTGAAACTGATTAGTAGTAGATGTTTCATGGTATTCCTATTGGGAATTTATTTTCTAACTTGATTACATATCTTATTTTAGCAATGTTGTCCTTTAGGCTTTGTGTATGCTTATGATAGCCATTAACCTTTCAGTTAGTTCTGTATCAGTTATGGGACAAAAAAAAAAAAAAAATAGTTCCCAAGCAGGTTCTCAAACATTTTAATTATTTGTGAAGCCAACAATATTCCCAAGTTTAAGTAGGATTTAATTTTGACTTTTTTTTTCCTCTTATTGGGACAAAGGATAAATTTTCCATAGTCTTATCCAGTGTGAAATGAAACATATCTTGAAAATAGGAACATTTCTAAGAGGGTAGTTACTTAAAAGAGAGTGGTTTTTGATGAAAAGCTCATGCCACAATCAATTTGGTTTTCTGACCCACAGATTGGATCCCAGGCTGGTATAGCCCTTTGGGAGAGCCTCAGAGAGTTTTCACAAGGGAGGGAACATATGTCAGCACCTCCTTTTTTTCCATTCCCCTGAGAGGAGGGCTTTCCTTTCCTCTCTACCCTGCTCTTGAGAGCATATTGCTGCTCCCTGCAGAGTTCCAGGGAGAAATTGGGCCAACTGAATGTGTTTAGAGACTTGTGCTAAAATACCTGTGGAAACAATGTTCCCCAAGAGGCATTTACCTTGATCTTTTCAAGCTCCTTTCGAAGAGCAGCCTTTGGGAGCAAAACAGATGTGCTTTCCTCCCACCGCCATTCTTTTCCCTTCCCTTCTGCATGACATTTGGAAAAGTTCATTAGGAAGGATTAATAGAGCATGCAGAATAAAGACACAGATGACTGGTTTGTAAGGAGGATGGAAGCAGTGATGTGTGTCCCCTGTTCCTTTTATTGGAATTGTCTGGTGTTCCTGTTTGTGATTCTCCTCAAGCTTTTGGAAGGGGAGAGAAACCAAAATAGTCCCTGCGATTACAACAGGCCAGGGTTGAAATGTGCCATGTGGTTTGTTGCCTGAGTTGGACCAGAGTCCTGTGGTTACCCAACTGTGGAATTAACCAGCAGATGCCCCTGTGGTAAAATGTAGGGTCTTAGAACTTACAGAGAATCTGCAGGGAAAGAAAAATGAGGACAGTCAGGAAATTATTAATATTACAAAATATTTGAAAGCTCCAATCTCAAAAACTGATTCATACAAATTAGACCTGCTGTTCTGTGGTGTATGTGGTTTGATAGGTGAACTAAGCTTAAATTAGAAAGAGCTCATTTTAAATTCCTTTTGGGTGGCAAAAAGTTCAACTTTCATGAATTGCATTGGGTTTTAACCACCAAGGATTGGTTATCCAGGTTCTGGACATATACACTAAGAAAGTTCTGAGCTGTGTTCTGAACTTTTGTTATATTTCTAATTTTAACTTGACTCAACATACAGAGAGGAGTGGGAATGGATCCAAAAGCTTTCTGGCTCTGAATCTATGGAAAGTGTGGATCATACTTCTGACTGCCCCATGCAATTGTTCTTCTACGAGCTCCAGATGGCAGTGAAAGCTCTCCTTCAGCAGATCAATATACCTCTACACCAGGTACTAGACTTTACCATTTTTATCTGCTTTTTATGGCTCCATGGAAACTGCATTGTAGCACTAAACTTACTGAAGATATGTATCATGAGTTATATATGTATATGAGACATGTATATGACATATATGTATATGAGACATATATTTATATATATAATATGTATATTTATGTGTGTATTAATTTTCATTTATTTAAACACCACTTTTAATATACATGCACAATTTACATTTGATGTCCACCAGCACAGACAGACTACACTTCTGCTCCTTTTCTCTAGCTCCTCTGTATTGATTTCCCCCAAGTTTTCTGGCCCCCACTGTATTCAAGCAAGGGAAAATTATTGGCTAGTCTACTTTGAAAGACAACAAACCTGAGCTTCAGGATAGCATAAAGCAAGGAGAACAAATAAATAAATAAGGGTGTACTCAGATGTACAAATGATTTATCCAAGAACAGAAGAACAATAGATTATACTACAATATTCAAGCTATGCCTGACTATCTTTTCATAAAGAGAGAATTTGCTGTCAAAATTATTGTCTTCTCAAAATAAAATGTGCTAATCTAATCTCCACTAATAAGCAACTTTGAGAAAAAATGTTGGCACAAAAGAGAATAGTAAATGTTTATTAGTCTCTGTCTAGTAGGTTAATATGATATAGAATTAGATTGAACTTTTTTTTTTTGGTCTATGTTCATCATTCTTGCCTCCCTCCCCAAAACACAGACCAGACACACACACACACACACTGAACCAAATTTAGCCTATAAACCAGAAGGCCATTACAGGAGTGACTGGCTCTCTTAAATGAGAGAAGCATGAATGGGCCTCTGGCCCATGGAGGCAGGGGGATAAATTAGAGATTCCAGGAGTGTCCTTCCATTAGGATAGTGCTCCAATTTTAAGTCAATACTGCAAGGCTAGTACAAAATAGCCAAAACTGAAGAAAACTAAATTGCTCAAGATGCCATAAAGACACTAGGGGAACAACTGAATTATTCCAGGGGTGGCCGTGTGTTCACTAGGAGAAAAAAAAAATACCAGCTCTACTTGTGACAGTAGATATTATTAAAGGGTTTCTTGGACTTAGCAGGTTTGAAGCAGCTCATATTTCATTGGTGACTCTTGGGCTACATATACATGTTGGGAGAAGGCTGCCTAACACTGCATATGACTTTTTTTTTTTTTTTGATACTTGTAAAATTTTCTCAGTCCTTGGCCAGAAACTACATTTTTCCCCCTTAACCAACTTAAATTGAAACTAGTGGATTTTTAATTCAATCCATTTTTGTTGCTTCATGTAATTATATTCATCATTTTGAAAAGCCCACAGAATGCAATCATTTTCTGCTTTTATAAGAAGCATAAATGTTGTTTTCAGAGTTTATGTGGAACATTACTGCCTTAAATCTTGATTTTATATAGCATTATTAAATGGGCTGAACCCTAATATTTATGTTGTATAAAAATTCCAAGCTTGAAGTCGTGTAATTTTGTTAGATGTTTTATGCCAGTTTGGTGTTGTTTATGTAAGTGCCATGTTGTAACTCTCCTATTTTTCCTCTGCGCGTGTCCCTCTGCAGGCAAGGAACTTCCGCCTCTACACACAGGAGGTGTTGGAAATGGGTCACAATGTGTCCTTTCTTCTCCTGCTCCCTGCCTCAGACGACGTCTGTACAGCCCCAGGACAGAATAATCCTTACACCCCACACTCAGGATTTCTTAACCTCCCTCTTCAGATGTTTGAACTTGGTATAGTAGCTTGTTTCACCTAGAAATATTAACCCAGCCTCCTTATAATAAAATCACAAAGTTATATCTGTTCCCCCTTGTCCCAGTGGAGGGTCAATAAATCACATGATGGCTTTGGCAACAACCCTTCCTAGAACTGTGTACAAGTCTGAGAAAAAGCAAAGCTCCAAGACTATGTGCCTGAGCAATAATTATTGAAACCCAGCTAAGGCCCAATGGAGAGGAAGGAATTCTAAACAGAAAGTTCAGTTATCAGGCTGTACTTCTTGCCTCCCCTTTGCTTTCTTAAAACATAAATATAAGAACTGATGTTTTCATGAAAAGCACTGCCCTTCTCTCTCTCTCTCTCTCTCTCTTTCTCTCTCTCTCTCTCTCCCCCCCTCCCACGCCCTCTCCCCCTCCCTCTCTCTTTTTTTCCTCCCTCTCCCTCTCCCCTTCCCTTCCTTCATATCTCCCTCCTCCCTTCTTTCTCTCTATCCCTCCCCCTGGTCCCCACCCCCAACTGGGAAAAAATAATAATGAAATTAAAATGTAGAATGTGTATCACTTTGAAGGAAAAAAAGTCTATAATTTTAAGTAGCACTGATTTATTAAATAGACTCTAATATTAAATAGACTAAATTTCTGACACACCATTTGAGAAATGGAGAGCTTGTCTTATGATGCAATATTGTGATTATAATGTGGGATTCTGAATGGTAGAAGATCTTGTCCTGACTTTCAAAAATGAATAGCTTGGGCTCCAGTTTCTCTACTTTTGCAGAGACCCCTGCTGCCCACTGAGAATATGAATAGGGAGGCTTTGTCCCCTTCCCATGCTTCATCTTGTAACAGGCCAATAAGAGGCAATTAGCAAGAGTTCCATCAGTTCAAATGAATTGTACAATTTTCAGGAGGGTGAGTGAGTGGGTGGGTGGAATGGAAGCAGACCCTCTTTGGACTGCTCCCCAGCTACCAGATTTAGAAACAGACAAGGTAACTGCCTGATGTTTCATTTTGAGAACTGAGAATTGCTTAAGCTTCTCAGTTTCCCTTGCTCCAAGTAGTTTAGATGCCCAAAAGCTGGTAAGTAGCAATTATTATTTTCCAGAGGAAGGAGGATTCTTAAGAGAAGCTTGAATCACATTTGCAGACTGGGACCTGACAGTCCTGGCTCCCCTATTGTGTGACACTGGCAATCACTTAACCTTTTGGCACCTTTTGTGTGTCACACAATTAATAACATTGGCCATACCACTCCCAAGAGGCTTGGATGTGACTGTGACCATTTAATGAGTTCCCCAGCCAAAGAGCATTATTATTCCATGATATAACAGCATTATTGGTTTGAAATGTAGTTTGGGGCAAGGTATTAATATCTATTGGGCGCCTACTGTGGAGATTTACAGTTGAGTAAGACAAAGGCTTTTCCCTCAAGGGGCTTTCAGTATGATGGTAGGAGTAAAATAAGAATACAAATTATTATAAAATGAGGTCGAATCTGCCAGAAATCATAAGTATTAAACAATATTTAAAAAAGAAAAGAAAGCACATTTTTTCTAAGATATGAGAAAGCCTTCATGGAGTATTATTTGATATTTGACTTTGGTATTAATGAATAAACATTATGTTAATAAACATGTATAAAAATAAAAATTTCTTGTCAGGGAGAGTAGAGTGAGCAAAGATATGAGAATAGAAGGACTCAGAAAAATTCAGGAAAAGAACAAGTGGTTCAGCTTGACTAGAGAAATGTAAGGAAATGGTGGGACATAAACCTGTACAGACAAGGTGGGGCCATGTTGGGCAGTATCTCTAGAGTGAGGCTGAGGAATCTGTTTAAGATAGATAGAGATCATTATAATACTTTAGCATTAGGGTAGAAACTAAAAAAGAAAAAAAAAAAAACAAATACAGATATAAAAACATTGAGAGTAATCAATAAGAATGGACAACTGTTTAAACAAGGAAAGAAGTCTGGAGAGCACACCCATAGTTTTCAGCCTCAGTGACTATAAGGATATTGCTTCCTTTACCAGAAATAAGGAAACCAGAGGGTAAAATAGTTTGGGGAAGAAAGTGGTGCTTTTTATGTTGAGTCTGAAGGTACTAAGTCAATCTCCAAGTGGACATATCCCATTGCAGTAGAAATGCAGAAGAGAAATTTGGGTACTAAGTACAGAACTGTGCCAGTGTCTACTAAAAATAGTTGAAGCCATGAAAGTGAATGATTTCCCAGGAATAGATAATTGACAGAGAAAAGAGCTAAGGAAAACACTTCATTGGAGGGCAAACCTGGATTATATTCTGTGTGAAACAGTCATTGTTGTTCCATGATTACAGGTAAAAATACTTGACATTCATTTTTCAATGCCTCAATCGCCTTGGTGGGAACAATTGATGATCTGGTGTCAATTGTAATAATATATGACTCGTAAGGCCCTGGAGGTCCAAGCCATGCAAATGTCCTCTCTAGCCTGCTTTCTGTGAGGCTTACATGCTCTTTTTGGGCAACCACTCTTTGTCCCACTGTTATTACTCTCTGTTCTATAATTTGGTGAAGTCTGTCAGCATTCACTTCTTCTCTCTATTCATTTTTCATTCATTCACCAATTATTCATTGAGTAACTTGCTATGTGCCAGGAACTATTCCAGACACTGAAGGATCAACCATGAACAAACTCTTCTTGGAGCTTGTGTTCTAGTTAGGGAGACAAATAATAAAGCAATCAACAAACAATATTATAAATGTCAGAAAATTGAGGGCTATAAAGAAAAATAAATCATGGTAAGGGAGTGAAGAGTGAAGTGATGGGAGCTGCAATTTTATACCGAATGATCTGGAAGTCCTCTCTAAAGAAGAAACATTTGAGCAGAGATCTGATATTTCCAAGCAATGGGAATAGCAAATGCAAAGGCCTTAGAGTAAGAGTGTGCTTAGCTAAGAAATTAGCATAGCTGGAGTGTAGTAAACAAGGGCAGCAAAGATAGGAGATGAGATTAGAGGGTCATGGGAGCCAGATCATGCAGGGCTTCATAGGCCATGATAAAGAATTTAGATTTTGCTTTAAGTATACCAGAAATGATATGGAGGATTTTGAGCAGTAGAATAAAATGTTAAAAGCTTTGCAAAATCCAATAGTCTTTCCCCTCAAAAAAAAAAAAAAAAAAAATTAACTTTGTTTAATCCAGCATTTTCCAAATTCATATGACTATGACTGGAGCCATTTTTGGCATGGAAGGCATGGAACCTATTAAAAACCCATAAAACACATACTGTGGGATATGGTGCCCTAGGACAGTGCTTCTCAAACTTTAACCTGCATAAGAATCACTTGGAGAGCTTATTAAAATACAGATTCCTGGAGCCCAAAACCAGCGATGTGAAGTAAGTAGGTCTAGGAGGAGGCTGGAAATTTTACATTCCTAATAAGCTCTCAAGTAATACTTATGCTGCCAATCCATGGACCACACTTTAAGCAGTACTGCCTAGGTCACAGAGATAAATACATAAATAAAGAACTAGAGATATGTTTAGCATCGTAATACAGTACAATTGAACTATGTCTGTCTCTTTGACCTGCTTTACCTCTTCTTATTGCTAAAAGCAATATAAGACCATCAGATACTATCCTTCATCTATGAAAAACAGGCCATAGATCAAAAACTGTCTCAGTAGTTCCTGACTTTAAGATGGTTTATCCCAGAGTAAGGCATATCTTCTTACTCTTGTGATTCTCCCTTGCTGCCATATCATTGGTAATCCAACTGATTAATGAGGACCATGTAAGTTTCCAGAAAAGACCATTTGATTGGGTTTGGTTTCATTGACATATATAATTCTATTAGTCTTTTTTTTTTTTTTTTTTTAGGGACCAGGGGTAAGTGTTACCAGTAACAGAGAATTAATATACTTAAGCACCACCACCAAAAATTTTAAAAACATTTCTGAATCTTAATAAGAATCATGACAAACTCTATCAAGAGGCATATTATCATAGCTACCTCCTGTATTAGGCATCAGCCCACTAAGCATTTAATAACACCTTATATAGGATGTCTAAGAGCTTGATATAGTAAACCTAAGCCTCTCTATGAAGGATGCTAAGCATTTTTGTCTTTATTTTTGTTTTTATATGTAGAAATTTCCATTTATTGGTAATTCCATAGTAAAGGGTCAAGAGATACAGTAAGCATTTCTGAGAAAGGAAGAAAATGTTTTTGGAAATTCAGTCAGAACTCAGAAAATTTTAATAACCATGTGGGAATTCTAATGAAACTTGAAAAGGTGTGAATTATGGGAATATGTAAATTATAATAAAGGGTTGCACTATATTTTGATTTGACTTGTATAAGTCATCCCTATCCCCATGAAAAGGATTTGAGATCTGGCAAACTGCCAGTGGCTTAAATGAATCATAAATAACTTGCTAACCAGCTATGGAAAAGTGTATAGCACCGAACAGATCTAGCAAGGACAAAATGATAAAGGACCTTAGCCCTCTCTCTCCCAGAGTACAGACTAGACTGAGGCAAAACTACAGGCTATTCCTTCACAGGATTACTGTGGGATAGAGGGAGACTGTCCTATAGGAGGATGTTGTACAATCTGGATGAGCAGGGTTAGCTGAGACAAAATGGTACAATTTCATGAAAGACCCACTCCCCTCTCCACAGCCTGAGTGCTCACACTTTACCATCCCCTGGGTGGGAGCAGGATAGGACCTTGCTGCAGTAATAAAGCATTTGCCTGTAGGTCTATAAGCATCACTATTTACACAGTTCCCAGGAACAAAAGGAAAAGCAGCATCATGAGCCCTTAGAAACTGTCCAGAGATGTAAACTCTTGAGGATTTGCCTAGCCTGCACTGGGGAGGTCACCCTGCCCTGACCTTGTGGGCAATCACAATTGACAGCAGGCCCATGATGAGGAAAGTTGATTTTTATTGATGTCTTTGGCTTTATGATTCATATTAATTGGACTAGAAAGACAAAAACTGGGGGATTTTTTTAATAGCTTGAGCGCTGGCATGTATTTCATACTTGGCTTGTGCTTGGCTCCATCCTTCATTCAACAAACGTTTACTGGCTTTACACTGTATGCAAGGTACTGTGCTGGGGCTGGACATTAATAAGGCACGGTCTGCCCGCCAGAAGCTCAGAATCCAATAGGGATATACAGGCATCTCTACCAAGAGTCCTAATACAATGAAAGCACTGCCATAAGAGGTAGGATGCTGAGTTTCAGAGGAAAGGCATCTAATCATTCCTTACAGCGATATACTTGAGTTGGATCTTGAAGGATAAATAAACATTCAGAAAGGGAAAGAAAAGGCAGAGCAGAAAAGGAAATCATTTTAAGCAGACGGAACAGCCTGCACAAAGGCTCAGAGACCTGGGAAAGTGCAGCCCAATTAAGTATACTCTTAGGAGCTCATTGTGATGGATGCTTAAGGTATTGGAGGAAGAATGGCAGGAGAGCTAAAAGTTAAAAAGATCAAAATCACAAAGGACTACTTTTGTAATCCTAAGGAGGTTAGACTTTAGCCCATAGGCAATGGGGAGCCCATGAAAAAATTTTAAAAATAGGGATGATATGGTCTTACTAGATTTTGCAGCTCTAAGGAGGATGGATTGCAGAAGAGTTAAAAAAAAAAAAAAGAAAGAAAGAAAGGCAGAAGAACGGGGCTGAGACTAGAGTGATGAAACAATTAAGATACTACCTCACTAGTCTAGGTGAACAATGATAAGAGCCCCAACCAAGGCAGCCACAGTGGGAATGTAGAGGAGAGAGCAGAGGCGAGGGGAATTTAGGAGTTAAAATCAATGGGACTTTGTGATTGGTTTGATGTGGTTGAAGAGCAAGATGAAGGAGCCAGAGAGTCTGAATAAGGGTGCTGAGATGGAGAATATTGCCATCTACCGAACTAGGCAGAATGAAGGAGTAACAGGTTTGGGCAAGAGGAGAGAAGAGGAAAGATGATGAGTTTAGTTTGACAAACGATGAGTTTTGAGGTGGAATCTCCAGGCAGTGAGCCTAATGTAATCCTCCTTCATTCCGAATGCCAATTTTACATGATTTAGGAGAACATTTCCATATTCCAACTGCCAATTCATTCACTACCAGGAATCTTTAGAGGGGCACCTTGTGCCCTGGTTCTTTCTGACACCCTGGCAAAGAATCATAGAATTAAACTGACCCCAGGAGCTTATCTCATTGATTCCTTGGCTTCCAAAAGAGGCCACATGACCCAGACTGATGGATTTTAGTGAATTAGAGATGCTTAGGAAGAATATTCGAATCTGAATTTTGTTCTAATATTCTAACCACTAAATGTCTCATTCTTCCAGTGGGGTAAGGGAATGGTGGAAGGGAGATAAACATTTATTTTGTATCTGGCATGTGCCAGATGCTGTGCTGGGCACTTTTTATACATTCTATTATTTAATCCTAGGTCAGCATTATCATCCCTGTCTTAGACATGAGAAAACTGAGGTCCCCAGAGGTTACATGCCCACCACCACACGGGTGGCAAGTGGCAGAACTATGATTCAAACCCAAGTTTGTCTGATAATCTAAGCCCATGCACCTTCCACTCTACTATACTCCTAGTATTGATGCCAGCCACATTGTAGTCTGTCACTATCTTATACAGAAAAAAGAGGGAGAAAAAAACACCACAGAAAATTAGTTTTAGTTTGTGAATTACTAACAAATCATGTGGTCCAGATAATGACCTTATTGTAGCCTTATACCATTTTGTCTGTAAAATGCATGTGATTCACATTTTAAAAAATTAGAAGCTTCCAGTCTATTCCGTCCTGCCTCAGTGATGGCTACCAAATGTATCATTGCTAAACCACAAAAGACTATGTTAAAGTAACATTTGTTAAAGTAACATAAAAGGCTCTAGATGAAAACCACCAGAGTGGGAAACCGAAGCGTTATAGTTGAAACCTCCTCATAGCTCACTTGTGGTACATGGTGTGGATGGTGTGGGTGCTGCAAGACCACCCACCGATGCGGGGCTCCCACTACAAACAGACACAACAAGAGATAGCTGTGAACACTCTGGCTTTTAAGAATTTAGATGGGACTGATAGTATTTGTTTATATATATATATATATTTTTTTTTTCAGTGCCTCTCCCTATCTTCCTAGTCATATTTTAGAAAGAAAAAAAAAAGGATTTTTTTTAAACCACTTGCTTTGGAAAGGCAAAGTGTGAGACACTTCACTCTCCTCACTCTCCAGCCAAGAGAGGACATCTGTCAAGTGCTAACAGGACATAATCCCTCCTTGAAAGGCATAAAGACACATTCAGGGAGCTGCAAGGGTCAAAACTAAGCTACAAAGTAATGGTGACTCCTTCCTGAGGAGCTGCCAGTAAATATGGCAGGCCTGAAACACACCTTTCAAAACAGGAAACTCAAGCACACCCTGAGAAAAAAGAGAATGGAGGGAAAGAGGAGCCTTTGGGGGAAGGTTATACCTCTTCAGATTAGCTAATGCATTTATTTACTTACTCACTTAGTCAATAAACAGTTGAGAAGCTATGGTATTCCAGGTTTTGAGGAAATAAAAGTTAATAGGAGACATGGTTCTGGCCCTCAAAGAAATCACAGTTAATGCCAAGGCAATCAAGTAAACACATAAGTACAATGTAGCAGGATAAGTGTCATCATACATTTAGAAACAAGTGCTCTTGGAGCAGAAAAATAGAAGAAGCTAGTTCCACCTGCAAGGGAGAAGTCAGTGAAAACTGAGGAGAAAATATTTACACTGAATCTTCAAGTATCAGAAGCTGACCTAAAGGTATTGGTAGAGAAAGGTATGTGAGGATGAGGAAAAGGCATGTTTAAAAGCATAGAAGTACAAAAGGACTTGCAATAAGTTCAGCTGGACCAAAGTTCAGGATTGATGTGGGGCTGGGGCTGGAGGGTGGTCACATGATGGAAGATGTGATTGAAGATATATGCAAATCCCAGATCACAAGGAGCTTTCCTTATGGGGAGAAGATGTTTGGATTTTAACCTGAAGTAAAGAAGCAGCTCTGTAGAGGTCTTTAAGCAGGGAAATAGTACATGCATTAGATCATTTGGGAGAAGCTCCATAGTTTGTCATTTACTGAGAGGGTATATGAAATTAGTTCTTCTGTGTGTTGGGCAAGAAAGTGCTAAACAGAGCAGAGAAGATGGGAAGGAAGGATCTGACACCACACAGAAAAATCAAACCCAGGACAGAGACTGCCTGAGTTAAGAAACACCTCCTTGAAATGGGGCACAGCTGGAGTATGGATGAGCCACTGATGCCCCCATCCCATTCTTCTCTTCCACTTCCATATGAGGAAAGACAAACAGAGCAAGTCACCCTTGCACCCACCTAAAATTTATCCTCAGAGGAAATCAAGAAGGAACCAGGCAGTGGCAAGATTAGAAGTGGAGGGTGCACAGAAATCTCTCAATATGCAGAGAAGTAGGGCCTTCTCACTGAGATGTCGAGATGATCAGATGCCCCATTTTCAGGTAGTGTGCTTTTAGCTTCCCTTAATGACCAGATCTAGGTCTCAGGAGTTAATAGCAAAAGGGCACAAGGAAAAGGTTAGTCTTCCTAGAATTCCTAACCAAAGAAGCCAGAATAAAAATATTTTAATAGACTGAATTATTGCAGCCCTATTTCCAAAGTATGAAACACACTGGGATAGGTCGGAGGTACCCAGAGAAAGAGAGGCTGCAAGAGAGTAAGTCTCCAAGTCAAAAATGCCCAGGAAGAAACTGGTACTACAATACTCCAAATCAGGGTGCTTTCCTCATCCCATTGGAATCTGAAGTCATGGTATATGATTAGAGCTGATCAGACAAATACAGAAAATCTGACCACCTCAGGCTGCCTGCACCAGGCTCAGTCCTCCTAGAAAAGGGCAAAAGATGGAGATGAAGGTTAGACTCTTTCCTGTGGCCTATGGCCTGTGGCTTGTTATCTTTTGAGACATAAAGACCAAGTCTGCTGAAGATGAAAATGGTCTGTCCAAGCAATAGCTCACATCATCCCTCCAGAGGAGCTGAGAAGGGAAGAAGCAGAGGCGGATCAAAGCTCATCGTAATTGGTCCTTAGGGAAGTTTTGCAGTCAGACAAAAGACACTCTGAAAAAAGCATGTCTTATATCTTCTGGGGGTTCTGGCCTTGGAAAAGAGCAAGTGAGGTACACACTGGAAATCAGACATGAAAACCAAAACTAGGTTTCAAATTGCTACTTGGCTTTTTTCCTTTTAAAGTGATAAGCAAGCTTATTTTCCCAGTGTGTGTATACATATGTATAATCAACCCCAACTTTAGAGAAAAGTCCACATAAACAGCAGCTTGAGCCAACCTCACTTCCCCATACCTTACTAGGAGTTGGTAGACCTTAAAAGGGAATACTGTCTGACTAAAGCCAGACAACTGGCCCCTTAAGAGTACATTTATAATTTATTTATGGCTTAATATTTTCCACTGATAGGATTAATAAATCATGTTTTCATTTAACTTGTTTTCTCTGAGGTATGAATTTCTCTATTTTGATACCAGATCTTAACGTGTTTTATTTTGCTTGTCCATTTTTCAGTTCATTTTTGCAGCTACAGGGAGAAATTTATTGGTCTGTATTGCCGCCTTTCTGCTGTCATAGAGCTGGATTCTCTGAATACCCAACAGTCCCTAAGGGAAGCGATCTCAGACAGCGAGGTTGCAGCTGCCAAACAAAGACACCAGCAAGTTTTAGATTTCATTCAGGTAATTGTTTGTTTCTTCTGAGGAAAGAGGAAGGAAGAAGAGACAGGGTGGGAGGGGTAAACACCAAGCATGCGAAAGGCCAGCAGTCTGGGCTGATTCAAAGAACACAGTATGCAAGTAGCCTGTTGAGTTGGTTAAAATGTGGAGCTCAGAGAGATGTGATTTCTCAAAGGCTTAAGAAAAAGTTACAGGTAAATCACAACATTACTAAGAACTGTGTTAGCCACCATGGCAGGTAGTAGTATCTTTCCATACTGGAGAGAAAAATTACCCCCAGAAATAGTGACCAGAATATTATTCTTACCTGGCATGCCACTGATAATTTCAACAGAAAGAAAAATTGTATTAACTAACTCAGTATCTCAGAGGGAAAAAAAATGAAAATGACCCACCAGTTCATATTAACCCAAATCCAGTTAGACCTAAGATTCCTCGTGTTTTGGACTTCTTTCCAACAGAGCTGCCACTTTAATATGTGGCTACTGAGGTTTAAAAAATGCGTTCCTTGTCCATGGTCTTGTGTGGAAAGGCCTTATGTTGATCTTTGAGGGTCTTGTGAAAAGGGTAATGACTAGCAGTCAAGAAAATTTGGATCTGGCCTGAAATTGCCTCTAAATCCCTTGGCCAAATATTATGGTCTTTCTGTCCATCAGTTACCAAATTCACAAAGTGAGTATAATAGCCATAGCCCCATGATAAATATCACTATGATATATATTCAGTTCAATTTGATAAATACTTATGAAACAATCAGGTATCAGGTACTGTACGGGAGATACAAAGTTGAATTAGACATGGTCCCTAACCTTAAAGAGTTTAAAATCTATCAGGATAGACAAGAAATGTGTAAATTTACTATTTGTAAAATATGTTAGGTGCCAAAAGAGAAATACACCCTACCCCCCCAAAAAAAGTTCTGTGTCAACACAAAGTAAAAATTTACTTTCATTTGTGGGTATCAGAAAGTTGCCATGGAGAATGTAATTGATTTCTGAGTTCAGCCTACAGGGATAGGTTAGATTATAGTGAGGTAAAATAGAATGTGGAGCAAAGAGACAGTATAAATAGATAATAAGGCAGAGAGAATAGAAAATAGTATTTGGGGGATGATAAATAGGCAAGGTTGGTTGGGGCATAAATTGAGTGATGGTTGTAAGAAATTAGGCAAGAATGAAAGATAGCAATGAGATCGAATCACAAGGGCTTTATAAAAGGTCAAGGTAAAATATTTGCATTTTATTCTGTAGGCAATAAGGAGCTAGCCAAAGTTTTGGAGAAAGTTACGTTAGAGGCTTTCACAGTTCTGTTTAGGATAGATTCAAGCAGGGAGGATATTCTTCCCATATATATTAGTATGACCATACTGGTTGTTTATTGTAAGCATTCACTCTGATTGGTCATGCTTACAAATAATTTGCATCTCTTTCCTGGAAGGAGACTAAAAGTAGGGAAACCAGATAAGAAGCTATTACAACTATCCAGACGAGAAGTAATGACAACATAAAATGAGGAAATGCTGTGAAGTTTGGACAAATAAATCTAAGTCCCAATATCCTCATCTGTTAAATAGGAATGATAATAATAGCACTACCTCATAGTATTACTGAGAGAATTCAATGGGATAATGCATGTAAAATGCCTGGCACATATTAATAAGTATGTATAAATTATATATTCATTCATTAACAAGAAGGAAAAATCCTTTGAAATATGAATATGCAAGATTTAGGAGTTTTGAAGTCCTCAGGAAGAAGATATTATAATTCACTTGCAAAGTGGTAAATTGATAAATCTTTAGGGTTATCTTACTTTCCTTGTCCTATAAATGAGGTCTTAGATGACCTCTCAGACTAAGGAAATAAACTTTCAAGAAGTTACTTGCTCTCTTGACCTGAAAACATAGTTTTTAAAAATTCAAAATATTTACCTCATCTATTTCATTTCCAGTAAAAATGGAACATAAATGGTGAGGAAGGGGTGGAAAAAAAGGGATGCAGCACGGGGAGAATAGAAAAGACTGGCTTATCTTTTGAACTCAACATAAAGGACAATGGAACATAGTAAGAATAATAAGGGACCAGAAGTCAACAAGCATACATTTTTAGTCCTGAATCTTCTGATAAACTCTGGAGTATAGATAATTCATTGGATCTCCTGGTGCCTAAATTTCCTCATGTGTAAAATGAAAGGATTGGACTAGGTGACTTCTATGGGCCTCGTCAGCTCTAACATTTTATGACTTAACAACCAGAAATATTTTTAGAGAAACATTTCTCTAACCATGCCTTGGGTTCTATTTCTGCCTTATTCTACTTAAGCCTCCATGGATCCAGTATGTTCATCCAATGAGGAGGCTGACTTTCTTCAGTCTATTGTGGTCTCCAAACCTTTCCTGGAATTCCTGGCTCCCTCCTTACTCCCTGACAATTACCCTTGTTCCTTTCTTTTTCATCTAGCCTTGGGCCTCACTGCCTTTTTCTCTTCCTTTTCATCACACCATTAGGTGGGCTGGATAAAGGCAGGCCAGGCCAGGGATTTCTTCAAATTTCTAGCCTGCTGTGGTCTCCCAAAGCAGGTAACTTGAGAGGCCCCTCTACATACTCCCCTTCCAGCCAGCCAGGTACACACAGACTTGGATAAAAGCCAATTCCCAAAAGGTTCAAAAAATAACTTCTTGGCCAGGGTAAAACCAGACTATCTCCTTGCACCCCTAGCCTTCAGTGGACCATCTTGCTCTAGGCAACATGGATAACTTCACTGAGTGGAGATCATTCGATGTCATCTCTCCCCTTATCTATGTTGACTTCTCAGTCTCTCTCTCTCTCTGCTCTCCCAAAATGAAAACCAGCTGCAGCCACTCACTCACTGATGTTCACAGCTCAGCCCACCGCACACCATAACCTGCAGAGGCGACCGCCAGTCGTGAGAGCATTTGTATGATTCCAGATCTAAGACAGTGTTGAAGTCACTACACAAACCAAACATTGTAAAAAGCAAGGGAGTCTATGTAAATAAAGTTAGGAAAAGAAGCCAAGAAGTACAGTGAGCAAGGAGGGGAGGGCTGGACCAGGGAGAGGTGTAGAAAATCATAGATAAGGTACATAGGCTTTATATACAGCACACGCAGCACAAATGTCAAAGTGTGGAGACCTGGAGCTTGGCATATTTTGAGCTGCTAAAGCCTAAAGGGCAATTAGGCTATAATTTATATAGTGTAATGCTCCAAATTCTCCTAAGCTGTAATAGGAATACAGCTCATTAAATATAGCCAATCTATCATCCCCTCAAGCACCTTGCAGCTGCGCTTGTGAGAAAACCAATCACCTTTACATTTTAATAAAAATATTATCTTGCCTGAGTACAGAGAAAGGAGTATAATTTATGGGATGAAAACTGAAATTTTTAAGGGGTAGGGTGAGAAATGGATGCAGAACTTTTAATCAACAGACCTAGGCAGTTCACGGTCTTTCTTTTTTAAAATGTGTCAGCAAGTCTTTAGAAGCTGAATTTGGACCTTAAAATCAGGGGGGATTATGTTGTCAGTTACTTTTAGATCAACCGTATAAGGTAAAATGGGTGAAAATCGGACTTCTCTTGGAGCAATTAACTAAGTCCTGTTAAACTCAATCTACAGGCTTCCCTGTACCTATTTTTTTAATTTCTGTTAAGGCCTCCTCACCTCATCACTGAAAAAAATTAAGTAAATATTTTTGCATACAATTTTTTTAAATATCTACTCTAAGTCTCTCTACCCATCGTCAACAACAAGGCTGAACCAATCTTATCCAAAGAGAATGGGTAGGTTATTTATTAATAATCATATTCATTTCCTAGGGCTACTGTAACAAATTACCACATACTCTGTGGCTTAAAACTACAGAAATGCATTCTCTCACAGTGCTGGAGATCAGAAATTTGAAATTAAGGTATTAGGAGAACTGTGCTCCCTCTGGAGATTCTAGAGGAGAATCTATTCTGTGCCTTTCCAACTTCTGGTTGGCATTCCTTGACTTGTAGCCACATCACTCCAATCTCTCCTTCCGTGGTTACATTGCCTCTTTTCTCTTATTCTGACAAATCTCTCTGCTTCACTCTTATAAGAGTGTCCTTATGAGGACATTTGTTGTTGGAATTAGGGCCCACCCAGATAATCCAGGATAAATAACTCCTCTCTAAATATTTGACTTAATCACACATTTTGCCATATAAGGTAATTTTTAATTTTTTATCATTAGGTAATAGTCACAGGTTCTAGGGATTAGAATACGGGCATATCTTTTGGAGGTCCACATTCAGCCTATTACAGTAACCAGGACTGTCATTGTAACAAATGAAAATTTTTTAACAATGTATAGTTTATAAAGTGTACTCATCTACATTATCTTACTTAATCCTTAAAATGACTCTGATAATAGAGATCTAAAGAATTAGGTAACCATTCTATTCATTCATTGGTTCATTTATTCATTCATTGAACAATCATTTTTTGAGTACATACCTACTCTGTACATCTGAAGGTAAAAAATACAAAAGCACAGTCCCTGTCCTTGACAGGTACTCTAAAAGCTGTCCACAGTCATGTATGTAGTGCCTTTAAAATAACTTTGAGACTAGTATATGCTGCATGAGGTAGAGCCAATAAAAGCCAGCTGAGATAGCAACAATCACATTGGGAAAAATTCAGCAGAGTCTCATCTGGGATTCCCACATTGGCTTTACCCTAAACTTCAGATTTCTCCCTTCAAAATGACTCAGTGCCTCCTCATGGGCCTGCCCTCTGCTGAACTTCCCGCCCAACTAACCAAGCTAACAAAGCCTGAAGGTCAATCTCCTGCTTTGGTCACTAGCCCTCAATACTACACCAAGTCCTATCACCCCAGGACAGGACAGAACTAGAAAACAAGGAAAAATGGCTATTGGCCACATAGTGCCATTCATAGTTCACTCTAGCTGGCCTTTCACTCTGAACATGGCAGACTGAATGTCACAATTTCAGACTCTACTCTGTGTTTGCTAGGAGCACCAGGTTTGTGGATATTCTTTAAAGAGGAGGTTTTTAGTACAGATTAAAGATGTAAGAATAAATTTTGAAAATAAAATATAACACTAGGTAGTACTTTATTTTTAAAACCTCTATAATTGGAGAGAGATTAACATTGCATCTATCTGGAAGCTGAGTGATACCAGCTTCCTCAAAAATAAATCATAAAGTATTAGAGCTGGAAGGGACCTTAAATATCATCTGGTCCAACCTCTTCTTTTTATAGTTGAGTAAATGGGCCCAAAGTTGTTAATGGCTTGCCCAAGGCATGCAGTAAAATTAGATACAAAGCCTACTAAAAGCTCCAGAGTCCTAAGAAAAAAATGTGTAACTAACATCCTCTCCTTGGAGATAGAATAACCAGAAAGCTCATGGCCAGTGTCTACCAAGATCTAACACAGAACATCTGTCATCTATAGAGAAAAACACAAAAATATAAGTGAATTTTATACCAATAGGCTTCAAAGAAACTACTATTATACTTTATAATAAAAATGTCATTAAAATCACTTTGGTAACCCAGAAATTAAAATATAATCATCTAAAATGGACTACCCTAAAAATGTAAGGATGTTTAAATTACTGAAGCACAAACCATTTAAGGCTGGGCATGGTGGCTCATGCCTATAATGCTAGCAATTTGGGAGGCCAAGGTGGGAGGATCAGTTGAGGCCAGGAGTTCAAGACCAGCCTAGGCAACATAGCAAGACCCCCATCTCTACAAAAAATTTAAAAATTAGCTAGGCATGGTGGCGTGTTCCTGTAGTCCCAGCTACTCAGGAGGCTAGGGCAGGAGGATCACCTGAGCCCGGGAGTTTTGAGGTTGCAGTGAGATATGATGACACCACTGTACTCTAACCCAGGCAACAAAGCAAGACCTTGTCTTTAAAAAAAAAAAAAAGAATAAGCTGTTTTGCACTTTAGAAGCACTTTATATGTAAGAAAGTAATAAGTTGAATATATAAAGTTACTTCTTTTCTATTAACATAGGTGTCCAAAAATCTCTACTTAGCAAAATATTTCAATAATACTTTGTTTTTCTAGTTCATATATAAGAACTAGAACTGTATTTCTTTATTAGAGTTTTCTGAAATTCAAACCTTATCATATACCTTCCCCACAATATCCCCATGAAGAATATTTCATTATATGCTAAGAAATAATAACCATTTTTGTGTGTGAACAATGTACCCTGCAGTACTACAAGGAACTTACAAATTCATCATTTCAGCCAATCATCACAGCAACTCTGGGAGGTATGAAAGGGAAAATGTTTTGTCTACATTTTACAAATAAGGCAACTAAGGCTGAAAAAGGTCAAGTGACTTGCTAAGGGTTACTATAGCACTAATAAGTGATGTACCCAGCTATAATCCAGGTCTTCCACTATTTGCACTAAATGATACAGCATTTTGGGTAAAAATATACAAAACATAAGATATTACAAAGAAGAGGTATTTTCTTTCTCAGCAAACCTACATCAAAAACATTTCACTCTTACTCAAAAGCATTACTGTAGGCCGGGCATAGTGGCTCACGCCTGTAATCCTAGCTCTCTGGGAGGCCAAGGCGGCCGGATTGCTCAAGGTCAGGAGTTCGAAACCAGCCTGAGGGAGACCCTGTCTCTACCAAAAATAGAAATAAATTAATTGACCAACTAAAAATATATATACAAAAAATTAGCTGAGCATGGTGGCGCATGCCTGTAGTCCCAGCTACTCGGGAGGCTGAGGCAGTAGGATCGCTGAGCCCCGGAGATTGAGGTTGCTATGAGCCAGGCTGACGCCACGGCACTCACTCTAGCCTGGGCAACAAAGTGAGACTCTGTCTCGCATTACTGTAGAAAATGGATCATCTTTGACTCTCAGAGAAATTTATTCCTTTTTATTAATAAGAACTATTTGATAACTTAATGTCTTTTACCATTTTATTCCAAAGCAAATAGATGAAGTCTGGCGTGAAATGAGATGGATCATGGATGCTCTACAGTATGCAAGATATAAACAACCAGTTTCTGGCTTGTCCATCACTAAGCTGATAGACCCCTCCGATGAGCAGAACCTTAAGAAGATCAATTCTACATCATCACATATAGACTGTCTTCCATCACCATCCCCATCCCCAGAGATGCACAGAAGAAAGGCAGTGAGTGGTAAGCAATGAGATCTTAGGTTCTGTTGTTCAGTCATCAGATTCTTGGTCCTTTCTATGCTGATGAGGTTGTCTGTGCTGAGGCACTGGTTTGAGCAAGTGGTAGGAAACACTGCTCAGTGCTAAGAGTCTAAGAGAATAGAGGGAATAAAATCAGAACAGTGGAGGGGGAGGAAACTCAGGCAATAACCTGAGATCAACTTCATTTAGGGATAGGAAAGATTCATTCCAGTTCTAGCCTATGCTTCCAAGATATAAAGGGACACAAAGCAGGGATATGGCTTCAGAGATGCAGAATGGGGACCACTGTGGTACCAGGTGAGAGCCACACCAGCCATAGGAATCTAACCAAAACTAAGTAAGGAAGGAGAACAAACCTAACCACTATTAAATAGGAGCTGACAGGAATCAGGCAGGAAGCAGGTCACAACCTGGGTGAGAGTTCAAGACAAACTTCCCATCCACATAGCACGAATGATCTGGGGTGGAAGGTGAGGAAGAAAGAAACCTTGGATAAACTAGAATCCTGAAACTGAGTCCAAATAAATATCTGGACCTCATCATAGGTATGATGACCTTACCAACTAGACAGAGGAGATGCCTATCAAGGCACCGCCACCCTTGGGAATTAAGTCTCACAGCAAAAACATGACTGGGCTAACACAGATTTCTACAAAATATCTATATTTATAAGCAGAGAGAAAGTATACTAGGTAAAGGCAATATAATGCTCTTGCCTAGACATGTTGAGACTAATGCCATTTTTCTAGTCAATTAAAATAACAACCATTCAAAGCATCTTTCTTGATTCTATAGCTTATGAGAGTGCCAATTTTTTAAGTTTTATAATAATATTTTAATAAATAGTTTTGGTTTGTGAGCTTGTCCTACAGGGGGCAGCATGGTGTAGCAGAAAGATTTTGGGCTTTGATATCAGAGACCTGGATTCAAATCCCAGTTTTGTTCTACTAGCTGTATGAGCTTCAGTAGATAACTACATCTGAGCCTCAGTTTCCATGTATGTAAAATAAGAATAATATATACACCTTGAAGAGTCACTTCTGAATAAGACAATCTATATCAGAGGTACATGGCATAAAATAGACAATTATTGTAGATATCATAGTTAATGTTATTATTGTTATTATAGAAAACATTAATGGTGATATGAGCCTTTTCTATAAGTGAGTTTTTGTGTGCTACTATGTTTTAAAAACCTCAATGTGTAAAAATCAAAACCTGGCAAATGGAAGAACTTAGTAGACAACTCATTTACATTACCAAAGTCTATGATTTAACAAATAATTCAACAAAAGAATTATTTAAACAGAGTTCCTAGAGTGTATTTTTATAGACTCCCACTGGGCTAGGGATACCAATCAAATATCATCTCTGCCAGAAGTAAGGCTAATGAAAGAGGCAGATACATTAACAAAAAATTACACGATAATTGCATATGTGCTATGAGTGGATTGGAGGTATTAAACCTTCAACTCGTAAGATCAAAGAGTGCTTCCTGGAGGAGGTGACAGAATCCAGTACTGAAGGATAAGGAGTTGGGCAGAAAAAGAGGAAAGAGAAGAACATTATAAGCAGAGGAAGAATACGATACAACTGTGCTGTAGTTTAGAGAACTGCAAGCAGTTTGGCTGAAATTCAGGATCTAAGGATGGCATTCATTTTTTTTTATTTTAAAAATTATTGATTACCCACTATGTGCCAGCACTCTTCAAAGTAACAGGGATATGGTGGTAAGTAAAGCAAAGTCTCTGCTCCCATAAGCTTATATTCTAGAAAAAGGGACAAACAATTAAAATATAAACAAACAAGATAATTTAGGATAGTAAAAATTCCAATATATAATACGAAATAGCAGGTAGGCAAGGAGAGTGTTGAATTCACTAGGATAATCAGCAGAGACCTATCTGTGAAAATGCTATTTAAACCAACCTCAGAAGTAAGAGCCAGTAATGCAACCTGGAGTTGGAATATTCTACGCAATTAAACAGCAAAAGGCCTTGAGGTGGGTGAGGAATGGAAAGAAAACCAACATCTTTGACACACAGCGAACAAAAGGGTGAGTTGTAAAAGATAGGGGAGAGAGAGAGATGGGGCAGAATGGGCAGGGTTCGGTAGGCCATGGTAAAAGGTTTGGATTTTATCCTACTTGTGATAAAAAGCTATTGAAAACTTTTATGCAAAGATTAATATGCTCTGAATTACTCTTTAAAATCAAGTATGGCTGTTATATTAAGAGACCATAGGGGAAAAACACTGGAAGCAGGAAGACCAATTAGTAAGCTATTAACAAAGGAGATACCAACTTTTCTGACATGGGTGCCTCAGGGTATCATGCTGCCATTTACCAAAAAAAAGTAAGAAAGAAGGATAAACAAGATTGGGTGGTCAGGCATGTTGAAATTGAGTTAGTTTTAGAACATTTCAACAGAAAGAAACATTCAGGAGAAAACAAGATGTAGAAGTCTGGAACTTAAGAAAGAGAATAGGGCTAACAATATAGATTTAAGAATTTGTTGACATGTGAATGATGTTTGAAGCTACAAAAATGCTTGGGATTCACTAGAGAGAATAGATAGACTAAGAAGAGGAGAGTGTGGAAGGATCCCTGTGGAATGGGGCAGAGAAACTTCACAAACTAAGAAAGAACAACCAGAGAAAGAAGATTTAAAATACAAACACAAGAGAGTAGTGTCACAGAAATCGAGGCATGTCAAATGATGGAGAAAGGTTAAATAAAACAACTGAGAAGCTGTTGCTTCACTTTTTTCAACAAGAAATCATCAGTAATCTTGATGAGAGCAGTATGTGAAAGGAAAGAGATAGAAGCTGAACAGAAGTAAATCAGGGAGTATATGAGAGGTGAAGAAGGGAACCAGAAAGACTCACTCCTAAAATCTTGGCTGTGAAAGGGAAGGAGGAGGGAAGGCAGTTGCTGGAGAAATGTAGGATTGAAAGAGTATTTTTTAAGGCAGGAAAGCTATACATGCTATGATGTTCCACAGTTCATTTAATTCTACAGACAACTCTTCAATTTTCTTTCCACCTTCACAGCCCTTGTCTGCCCTCTCAGCTCACAGAACTTTCCCAGTGTTTCATCTTCTCTTGGCCCCAGGGTCCTAAGTGGATTCTTCCTTGGCTGTATGAGGGTGGCCTTCTCTATGCTATAGAAATGCCAAACTCTCAGGTTGGCCTGAGGATGGGTTGCACACACTCCCTGCTGGGAGGATCTGGCCAATTACATTTGGATTTTATTATTAACTTAAAATGTGAGCAATCATCATTCTGTTTCTTAAAATATAACTCTCTCTTGGGTTCATTTACTTCTTTGAAGCCAAGATTCCACAGGCTACGAAACACAAAGATGTGGAGGGCAGCAAATGACAAATGGAATCCAGTGACAGGGAAGCACTGTTGAGAGTTGGGGAGAAACATTTAGTGTCCTATCCTCTCACAAAAGCAAAAGCCTTTCAGAACAATGAAATCTGCCACTGCATACTTGGTCCTTTCCATGAGTGTGACCACTTTGAATTGTTTGGAAACCATTTATGAAGGGGGAAAAATACAATTTAAAGGAATATCACTGCTGGGTTACTCACAGGGCAAAGTTTGCAGCACAATTCCATTCTGTGTGGGTAGGGTTCACTAACTTCTAAGGAGCCTGCTGGAAATATAGAGCCTATTGCAAACCTAGCCTCTGGTGCCAGTCCAAGATTCTGTTTTAAGGCTATTGAGTACCATGGATTTGTTTGTGCATATCTGTTGGGGGTGGGGGAGGAAGGGAGTGGAACTCTTTAACTTATTTCCCATTTTTGTGTGGTTTTCAAAACACAAAGTAGAACTCCTCTGAGTCAATTAAAATTAAGCATCTCCCAAGGATCCAAGGGGGAAAGTTGGCTCCTAGAAAAGGCAGCTCAAGGCAGGGGGTGGAATGATTTGGTCCATCACATGGGTATTTTCTCTCCCACTCCTTTTCTGTGGGTATAGTGGTCACAGGCAGCAGCAATTTTTTTTTCCGATACTGCTGTTTCTCCTAGTGACGCATGGGTGAGGCTAAAGGGGAGGGGGGCGTTGTTTCAACCTTCAGATGCATTTGAAGATTATCCTGATCTTCCAAATGTAAATCTTCCTGTTAACCTTTTCCCATATGATATTAAGAACATTATAGCATAAACTAAACAGCTCAAAATATCAACAGGAATCTGGAGATATTTTTCTCTTGGGAAATTACAAAGTGAACAAACCCCTGAGGCCTGATGAGAGATTCAGTAAAATTCTTCATTTATAAATTATTTAAATTCTATTCAAACACAGTGAAAATAGATTCACTGAAACATATATATAGAGATATAGATATATATATTATATCTATATCTATATTTATATGGATAGTGATACATTGAAAATATGAAGCTAGATTTTAGAGCAAATATGAATTATTATTCCTTTCTGTCTTGCCATGCCCCCTGCCTTTAAGAGAAAAGCAATAACTTTAAATCAATTATTCTTTCCTGAAATGTCATCTCCTCATAACGCCCTCAAAATCCACACCAACTCTTCTCTGCTGTTGTTGGCCTGACCCACAGAGACCAGGAGTTACAACATCCATTACAATGGCAAGAAAGCCAAGCTTCCTAAGCCAGCACTAATACTATGGGCAGCACTTTCATCAAAGAGTTCCTGGGTCAACCAGAGGGGAAACTCAAGGTTCTACCAGTGCTGGCCTGCCCAGTGGGGCCTCTAAGGGAAATGGAGGAGTACAACCAGGTTTATTAAAATAACAACTGGGCAAGGTGCCTACAATGGTTAATGGAGCATATGGCCTGGATCTGGGAATGGAAGCTGCACTTTGCGTTCTTTTCCAGGAAGAGAGGGAGTAGCAGTGGCTTAAGTCCTTGGAAATTCTCCTCAGTGCCCTGGCTGGCATCCTGGAGATTTTCCCAGACTGTTCTGGGAGGGATATCCCACTCTAAGCAATAGGTT